GGTGTCTTAGACCATCCATGCTGGTGTCTTAGACCATCCATGCTGGTGTCTTAGACCATCCATGCTGGTGTCCTAGAACCTCCATGCTGGTGTCTTAGACCTCCATGCTGGTTGTCCCTATACCATCCATGTGTCTCAGGTGTCTTAGACCATCCATGCTGGTGTCTTAGACCATCCATGCTGGTGTCTTAGACCATCGCATGCTGGTGTCTTATGACCATCCATGCTGTGTCTTAGACCATCCATGCCTGGTGTCTTAGACCATCCATGCTGGTTGTCTTAGACCATCCGTGCTGGTGTCTTAGACCATCCATGCTGGTGTTAGATCCACTCATGCTGGTGTCTTAGACCATCCATGCTGGTTGTCTTAGACCATCCTGCTGGTGTCTTAGGACCATCCATGCTGGTGTCTTAGACCATCCATGCTGGTGTCTTAGACCATCCATGCTGGTGTCTTAGACCATCCATGCTGGTGTCTTAGACCATCCATGCTGGTGTCCTAGACCATCCATGCTGGTGTCTTAGACCATCCATGCTGGTGTCTTAGACCATCCATGCTGGTGTCTTAGACCATCCATGCTGGTGTCTTAGACCATCCATGCTGGTGTCTTAGACCATCCATGCTGGTGTCTCAGACCTGTTATCTTCCCTCCCCCCCCCCTTTCCCCCACACATGGACACATAAATCAATAATGTCATAACTGTTCATTTAATAATTACATTCAAACATTCACTTGCAAATATATTTTTAAAAGAACAGGTTTTGCTGCACACAAAATATAACACCAAGACTGATGCTGGTTTTCTGCTGTGATGCTACCTTGACTTTTTTATCATCATCATTGTTTGTGTGCCGTTAGACGTCACATAGGGCTCATAATCGATTCCTCCACTCTGCTCTGTTGCATACAATTCTCTAGATTTCTGACATAAAGTTTAACCCAGAATTTTTAGCATCTCGTAATTATGAGCTTCTCAGTGTTTCCCTGGGACGTCCTCTTTTTCTCAGACTTTGTTTCCCATTTTGGTACTTCTTTTGTAATTCTATGCTCATTTCGTCTCATAGTGTGCCCATGTTATTTCCACCATCTGATATCATAGTTTAATTAGCTTGTATACGTTAGTCATTAGTTCATTGTTAGTTGGTCATTAGTTCATCATTAGTTCATTATTAGTTCATCATTAGTTGCTCATCAGTCAAGGTTCCAACTTCACTGCAGACTGTTTTGTTGTTATGCCAGTGGAAATCACATAAAATGTCCTCCACTGTCCCATTTGAAAACTAATGGTAAACATATCAGTCCCTTCAGAATCTTGAAGCTCCCATATGTGTGGGACTCTGAAGAGCTCTGACAACATATTTGTTTCCTGCAGGGGTGGTATATTTGGTCCCTCTGGAAGTATTATACCCATCAGTTTAATATATTAACAGGGTTCGTAGTGGACCGGGAAATGGGGAAATTGCCGGGATTTTTTTTCGTTGACCTTGAACAGTGATTTTTAGCTTATAAAAGACATTCCGACCTTGAAAAGCCGTGAATTTTGACCGCCGCAATGAAATCATCATAAATCCTGTGTTTTTCAGCACAGGCAATTTTGGGGGAGCCATTTGGCTTTTTTGGCCATTTGGCTAGTTTTTGGCTACTTTTGTTGAATGGTAGTTTCAGGTGTGAGGGCAGCTGATTATTAGCTATTTTCAGCAGAAATGGCTTGTTAAAGGCCAGGGAAGGGCGGGCTGTGTTGCAGATCATGAATACATGCAGACAGCAGCGGTGTGGCATGGGGCGGGAAGTAGCCCCTTCCGTCTCGTGTGTGTGTGTGCCTTTGTTTCTAGCGAGTCGGGCAGAATGAACAGTATAAATCGTTTATGGCCGTGGTTTCTAGAAAGGATTACATTGGGAGATGGTGGCGCTCGGTTCAGTTGTATTTATAAATAGAGTCGGCCTTCCCTATTAATTAGAGATGGCATTGGGGCTAAGCAAAGTGACGTCAGCTGGATTTCCCAGTTCTATTTTGGCCTGGTTTTATCTTTACAGTGTGTTTGGCGATCAGTATTGCAATTCCCCGAGATTCCCTCTTCTGTTGTCTCACCCCTCTCTCTCTCTTCCCTCCCTCTTTCACTCTTCTACCTATTGCTCCTTCCTTCCCGTCTCCTGCATTGTCTCTAACCCTCCCTTCTGATCTTCATCTTCTTCTCTTTCTCTCTATCTTTCCTTTTACTCTCTCATTTCCTGTTCCCCCTCCCCCTTTTTTTTCTATTTTATTTCTTGTTTAAATGTTTAGTAAATGTGCCGCTTCATAACTCTTTTCCTAGCAACTCAAGTACACAGGAAGTTGTGTTGGGGGGGGTGGAGTGGTTCTGCGTGAACATGGTGTATATTGTCTTTTGATGTGTTTGTTTTCTTGGCGGCCTTAATCTCTGTCCATCTCTCTTTCTGCCTCCTCACATTTTGTCCTACTTGTTCCTCACTCTCTGCCTGTCTGTGTCACTGCTTTCCTCTCTCTCTTTCTCTTTGTATTTTCCGCTCTCCCTCACCCCCCCCCCCCCCCACTCTCTCTCCCCCTCTCTCTCTCTTTCTCTGTACCTTGCCTAGTGCAGAACATTTCATGTCCACCACTCCCCCTCCCTCACACAGACATTAAATATATGTGTACTTTTAAAAACACATTTGCCGTCACCCCCCCCCCCCTTCCCTTTCTCCTCCCACATTGATGACACCTAGGGGAGGGAGTGCACCCCTTCCTGCTACCTTCTTCCCTCTATATCTCATCTTATTTCTTACTCTCTTAATTCTTACTCCCTGTCTCATTCCCACTTTATTTTCTTAAACTGTATTCTCTCACCTCCTCTGTCTCACCCTTACCACCTCAGCCTTCTACACCACTTTCCACCACCTCCTCTCTCCCCTCCTTTCTGTAATTGGAAAACCAGAAATAAAACGAAGTCCACTGCTGCCCTGACCTATTTATATGTGTGGGTAAACTTCTCTATTTTCCACCAGTGGTGGGTTGGGATCCCCTGGACTTTTTTTTTCTTCATAAAATGACCTTGGCTCTCAGGTCACAAGCATTAAGTGTAAGAAATTGAATTATTGTTGTCACACACAGGACAAGCACGGGGCAGTAGGGGTTATTAGCACTGTTGTTTATGGACCACAGCCACATTCACATTGGGAGAGGGTAGGAACCGGAAAAGTGGCCTCACTTAGAGATTTCCTAATTCTATTTTTGGCGCTCAGTGTTCTTACACCCCCCCCCCCCCACAACCGTGTCTTACCTCTCTTCTCTCACCCCTTCTCTTTCCTTTGATCTTCTACTATTCTCCTTTCTCTCTCCATTCTTCCTCTCTTCCTTTCCTTGCCCTTTCTCCTGTCCCATCTCTTCTTTGTCTCCTCTCTATCCTGTCTTTTTATTTCCTCTAGATTTCCTTACCCGCTCCCCTCTCTCATTCTCCCCCCCCCCTCCCCCCCCCCATCCCCCCCCCATCCCCCCCCCCCCCCATCCCATTTTTTCCTGGTTCATCTACATATTTTTTTGCCCCATAACTATCTTTTCCAAGTGGTTGTGTCCACTACACTTGAAATTGTGTGGTGGGTGGAGTAGGTGGGGTTTCAGCAGGAGGCTGTTTTTTTTCTTTCTTTGAGGTATCTTGTCTCCCTTCCTGCCCCTCTCTCTTAATCTGCGTTTGTCACTGCCTTCCTTACCCACCTCTCTCTCTCTTGCTTTATGTCTGTTTGCCTCCCTTCATCACTTTCTCTTTGTATACCTCCCTCCCATTTTCCTGCTCTGCCTTTTTTCTCTTTCTTTGGTTCTCTCCCTCTGTCTGCTTGCCTCTCTGTGCTGTCCCTTTGTCTCTCTCTCCTTTATGTCTACATCTCTCTCTGCTTGCATCTGCTTCTCTCCCTGTCCATTCTCTCTCCCTCTGTCTCCCTTCTTTCAAATATTTGTCATATTTTCCTCCTTCCATATCTCTGTTTCGTTCCCTTTTTCCTTCTCTTTTCATCTGCTCATCTCTGTATCTGCATTCCCTCTTTCTGTATTTGTCTCCCTCTCTGTCTTTTGCTGTCCCTTCCCCACTTTTCCTCATCATGTCTCCATCCCTCCCTCTCATTTTTTCCTCCTTCCCCAGACTTCTTTTCCTTCTTTTCTCTACCTTCATCTGTCCATCTTTACACTGTCTCTCCCAGCCTACCTCAGCATGTGTCTTCCTCCCTCTCTGCATGACTCTCTCTCTCCCCCTAACCCTCTCAGGTACCAAGTCCAGAACAGACAGGACTTCAGTTTGCTGCCCTCTACCACCAAGCCCTAAAAAAAATTTCAAACACTATATCAAGCCCAGGGGCCGACCAACACGAAGATGGGCACAGGATATAAGTGACTCCTTGAGTATAAAAAAGTACATGAGAGGGAGAGCTGGTAAGAGACCGAGGTTTTTTTGTCAGGACAAAGGAAATGCTACATGATGATGATATATGTGCTGGTATACCAACACATTTGGTACAAATGAAGTACATTGTGTGCTCAGTACACCCTTGAACAAGGCAAAAATCTTGTTTCAGTATTACACCGAGACAACCTTGAAAAAAACTAAGGAGACCTTGAAAAAGACCTTGAAAAGCCTTGAAATTGATTGGTAAATTTGGCTATGAACCCTATATATATATATATATATATATATATATATATATATATATATATATATATATATATATATATATATATATATATATATATATATGTATGTATATATATATATATATATAAATATATATATATATATATATGTATGTATGTATATATATATATATATATATATATATATATATATATATATATATATATATATATATATATATATATATACATACATTCTAAACTCCCTTGTACATTAGCTAGGAACTTAAGGATTGAAGGAGTGAAAAAAAAATGTGTGGCTGTATTTTCAGAAATGTTGATGTCATTATCTTTATCTTTATTTGTTTTGGCATTTTCCCCCTTAGGTTTTGCTATCACATCTCAAATTTCCAGTCATTCCCAAGAAAGTGACGATCGGCAAACGTCTAGCACAATGTCTGCACCCAGCCTTGCCAAGTGGTGTACACCTGAAAGCACTGGAGACCTATGACATCATATTTAAATGTATTGGAACTCAGCGTCTGGCGCATGACCTGTTTATCTACAGCGCTGGTCTCTTCCCGCTGCTGGGTCACGCGGCCATGAGCGTCAAGCCGGTGCTGCTGACCCTTTATGAGAAGCACTTTGTTGCTCTTGGCCGACACATCAAGCCTGGACTGAATGGGTTGTTGCTTGGTCTGCTGCCTGGACTTGAGGAGGGTGCTGAATACTTTGAAAGGTCAGTTTTTTTATTAGCTTTTTATTAGGTTGCTTTTGTTTGTCTGGATCAGTTGGTTGAGCTAGATTTGTATACTATTACCCCAATAGGCTATAATGCTGACATTTTTCACACACATGCCTTGTGGATGACAGTGCACCATGGTGAAAAAATATTGTGACAGTGTTTGCCTCTTAGTTATCATTTTCAATGCCCAAGTATTTTGGGAGTTACCAGAGGATCTGGCAGACGCTCAACACTGAAGGGAAAGGCAAGACAGATATACAATCAGACAGTTACTGGTGTCATCAGAATTGGAACTATTTGTTTGCTGCTGAAGATGGGTACAGAGTGCTTATGGGAGTGTCCCGAGTGCAGTGATGTTGATTCTTAATTTAACATTCAACCCGACGATTGCTAATTGATCTATAAAATTTAGGCCTTGCCCTATATGCCTAAAGGCGTAGAAAAGAAGCCTTTATTTTACTTTTTTATATTAATGCAACATGCATTAGGTCAATTGATTTGTATGGAATTACATGTTTCAGAACAAACTTGCTACTGGAGGATTTTTGTAACGCTGTTGGGCCGCCATTTTTCTATACTGGCATCTGGGAGTGTATGTTGTCATGTCCTAGTGTGCGTTTGTACGGGGCCACCTTCCTTCTGAACCATCTGAACAAGCGACAAAGTATGGAAGACCAGTTGCATATGATTGGTTTGGACATAGACCTGATGGTGAGTTCTTGTCAGTCTGATTAGGTGTAGGTTTAAACAACAGATCAACATCATGGCACAAGGGTAGTAATCCATAAGTGCTCCGTTCTACTTCTAACTGAAGCTTGGGTCTAAAGAATCTCAGCACAGTGCACACACTCCCTAGCACCAGTGAGGATCCTGGAATACTTTGGGTATATTTTTAATTCCAAATTGTGCCAAGCAGTTCTGTGAGGCTACTGTTTTCGATTTCCAACTGCCAAAAGATTCTTTTTACGTGTGCAACAATACACACGGGCGTCCAATCTTACTTCCCAGAGAGCAGGGGAAATTACTAGAAATCCACCTGAACAAATCCCAGCCTTTTGATTGCTTGTCCAAGGAAGGATAACCTATGCAACCTCTCCATCTTCTGCATTCGCTCTTAACTCTTTCAGTCCCAAAGAATGCATCATAGGTTCCTACCTAGAAGCCCAAATGAACACAAAAGGCACTGATTTTACCTCTCTCTCTTAACTATCCCTTGGGCCTGTGCTGCTAAACACCCTGGGACTGAAAGAGTTAAAAGGTATTTAGCACATTCGGTTGTGGTTTACAGCTAGACTGAGATGTCTGCCTTTCGGACCAACACATACGATTTCAGCAAATTCTTAATTAGTCACCTTTTACAACATGCTTGTTCCCTTGTGAGTTCCGGGGTCGCATTATGGGGAAATCAAGATTCACTTGTGAGTTCCGGGGTCACATTATGGGGAAATCAAGATTCACTTGTGAGTTCCGGGGTCACATTATGGGGAAATCAAGATTCACTTGTGAGTTCCGGGGTCACATTATGGGGAAATCAAGATTCACTTGTGAGTTCCGGGATCACATTATGGGGAAATCAAGATTCACTTGTGAGTTCCAGGGTCACATTATGGGGAAATCAAGATTCACTTGTGAGTTCCAGGGTCACATTATGGAGAAATCAAGATTCACTTGTGAGTTCCGGGGTCACATTATGGAGAAATCAAGATTCACTTGTGAGTTCCAGGGTCACATTATGGGGAAATCAAGATTCACTTGTGAGTTCCTTGGTCACATTATGGGGAAATCAAGATTCACTTGGGAGTTCTGGGGTCACATAATCGGGAAATCAAGATTCACATGTGAGTTCTGGGGTCACATTATGGGGAAATCAAGATTTCCTTGTGAGTTCCAGGGTCACATTATGGGGAAATCAAGATTCACTTGTGAGTTACGGGGTCACAATATAGGAAAATCAAGATTTCCTTGAGTTCTGGAACAAGTCTAAATTCCAGAGGTGGATGAACAACCAGAACTTTTGCCCTGAGTTTATACCCAGTGATAGCAAAGAAGAAGAAAACATGTTTTTTAACCTTGTTGTCCAGAGAAGTAAACCTCGTCACTTCTGTTTGTGACATAGTCCTGTAAATGGCAGTAAATCTTTGTGTCTGCAGTGACCTGTTCTTGAAAAGAATAGTTTAATTCCATTGGTTCTATGTGTGCCTGCTAGAAAAGGATATGAATATAGTAACTAAAAAAGAAAATATTTTAACTAGGTTTCCTTATAACCCCAGTGGCTTTTTGTAAGCCATGTTGATGTCAAATTTTCCCATAAGACTTATGGATAAAGGTCATAGGATTATGACATACATCCACAGATATATATATTTTTTGTTATAGACACTGTGGAATGTATGCCATTCATTGCTTCACTCTGACCACATTTATTGATTACTCCCTTTATTTATCTGTTTTCTCAATTTTTTTAAACATAATTGTGTGTGTATGTAAAAAAAAACTTGTTTGAAGAGAATTTTTTTGAGACCTCACATGGGGTTGTGACCCCCTTTTTTTTTTTTTTTAGTGTTACCAGGGCCAAACGGTTGAGTTCAAAAGTTGTTATTTTCTTATTGTTATATACATGTCTAGTTCAGTGTCTAGTGTACAGAAGACTAATTTAGTGTCTGGTGTCTAGTATGTGAAAGTCAGGTTTATCTGATCTCATTGATAGGTGACTGGCATCTGTGCCTGCTTGCAAGACTCAAGTGTTCTGGTCCAGAGGAGCATGCTGGACTTTCTCCTGCTGGCATTTCCCATGCACAACGGTCAGTTGACTCGTGCAGACGTGGCCAAGATTGTGGAGGCTGCGGTCAATGTGGTCCTGCGTCGAGACATGTCCCTCAACCGACGCCTGTATGCTTGGCTGCTAGGGACGACCACTACAACAACAACTGCCACAACTGATTCACATCATGGCCGACAGAGGACAGACAGCTCTTCTACAACCAGTGAGATGGACCTTGGCTACTTCCAGGCAAGTTGTTACTTTATATCATCATCACAACCACCACCGTCATCATCATCATTGTCATCATTGTCATCATATCTTCAGCATCATTGTCATTGTCATCATTGCCCTCTTGTGCCATTATACATCCCATAGAGCTCACACTTTACTCCTTTCTTTCATTTTATCCTGTACAATCATTTCTTCTTCTTCTTTGTTCACCGGCTGTAGGATCCCGTGGAAGTCCTGGCTGTTCATCTGCTTGGACTTTTGCTTTGTGATTGGGCATTGAGTTTTGTGTGTACATCAGTTTTACTGCCTTATGTGTGTGCAGTTGGTTGTTCCTTGCTGCTCAGGTAGATGCACTCTGACTTTGGAGGAAGCTCCCAATTGGTCGACTCCTACGACATGTTTGTTGGGGTGGGGGAGAGGTGGCAGTGCATCTGTTCTTGTTTTTATCTTTGTTTGCAGTGTAGGCAGGGGGTCTGTGAGGCTGAGAATTTAATGCTGCATTGTTAGCATCATTGTAATGGGCGTAAAGATTATCACTAGATAGAATGAAACAGAGGAATAGACTGAGTCATATGTGACCATAGAATGATGATGATGAATTTCCCCCAGGCATTTATTTGGGAATGCATTTAATATCAGTATAAGATGACCTAGACAGCCAAAAAGAGCAACCAAGAGGTTTTGAGAGAGGCAGGAGCCCGAAGACAACTTATTACAGACATCAGAAGGAGACAGTCATCATTTTTCAGCCATGTTATGAGAAGAGGGAAAATAGAACATGTTGTGACCACTGGAAAGATCTGTGGAAAAAGGGATAGAGGAAGACAACGAGAGAAGATGCTTGACAGTCTTGTTGCATGGCAACAAACTGATACATGCTGCAGGAGATCGCAGCTTATGGAGAGGCATGATCGCCCACGCCAGTTGGCAAGGCACCTGATGATGATAAGATGACTGGTTTCAATATTGTTGTCAGTCCTCCTACATGTCTTTTTTTATTTACTGGGGCTGGAATGTTTTTGGGTTATGGGCTCAAAGCTGGCATAGAGGATGCACTAGTGTACACAGACAGTTTTATAGATCCAGGAGAGAAGTTTGGTTGGGGATTCTCATATATAAAGTGTGACCGACCCTAAAGCAAATAAAGAATATTTTATGCAATCTTTGTCAGTTGAGATCAGAAAGAGAATTCTTAAAAGCGATATAAATCCTATCTTGATGTACGGAAGTGAACATGGACAGTTGGTAGGTTAGTGAAAACTTATTTGGAAGCTGCTGCAGAGATGTGGTTATATAGATGAATGATAACACCCTGGACAGATAGAAAAGAGTAGTGTGAGCATCTTGAAAGAAACTGACTCATAAAGAGGACTGACTGCCCACATCAGAAAAAGACAATTTATATTCTTTGGTCATGTGATGAGAAGGAGAAAACTGGAGTACATGGTGACAGCAGGAAAGTTAGAGGAGAGGCAGAAGGAGACCGAGAGAATAGATGCTGGACGGTTTGACATCATGGTGTGGAGGATCATCTGTGTCAGAGTTGGTCCGTACTGGGACTTAGACCTTTTGCCCACTATGATCCCCATTTTGAACATGTTGGCCTCTGAGTAAACTGAGTTAAATAGCAAGGATCATAACCGTAAAGGCCACAAGAGAAAATGAAGTCAGACAGAGTTGGAAAAAAAAAGAGGTCAAGCACTGGAGCTGATGAAAAAAAATCTAAATGGGACAAATGCAAAGGAAAGTTTGGCCTACCATAATAGGTGCAATATACAGAGATAACAGTGGGGCCATGACAAAAAGAGAAAGGGAAAGCATTTTTGCTGAGATTTATTGCATAGATAGATCATAATGATAAGGAAGTTATAAATTCAGGTAGAGTTGATTTGTAAAATACTATAAATGATAAGAACTATGAGGATATCCATTCAGGTGGAGGATATAAAGCGTATATAGCAAAAAGCAAAATACACTGTGTTGGAGTCAGGTGGGGTCAGATATGCCCTCATAAATGAGTAAAGAAGATTTCAGGGAGGTGGCATCAGAATAGAGTCTGAGGGAGGGTGTTGCTGACTTCAGAGGTGACATTACATTAAGAAGAGTTGGAATGTGTACTCATATTTTCTTGTCAATAATTGTCATTCTTTCTGGTTTATTCCCTAGAATTACTCCAAAGACTTACTCGTGTCTGCCTTGAAAGCAAAGCTCATGGAAGAAGATGCATCCTCTGCACCTGGCTCAGACAGTCTCTCAGCAGTCCTGAAGCCATTCCGCATCCTAATCAGTCTCCTGGACAAGCCAGAGATTGGACCAGTAATCATAGAGAATGTGTTGCTGTCTGTATTCCGTCGGTTGAAGATTGAAGGAGCTCACTATGCTCAAAGTGAAGTTGCCAAAGGAACTGCGCTGGTGGTACCAGAATGCAGCCTGCCCATGGAGACACACAAAACGGCTAACCTGTTGTTTGGTTCCTTTGAGCCTTATTTCATCTGGGATTTCATAGCGCGGATGTACAAAGCTGCATGTGATCAAAGTTCCAAGGAGCAGGAAGGCAGTAAGCTCATGGAGGCTGTGTCTGTTTCAGAGCTGTGTGAGCTTGTGGAGTTTCTCTTGGACATCATTGCTCTGGTTTGTATTTGGATATTGTATAAATGGTTAGACATCTTCTTCTTTCCCTCCCTCCTCTCCATATTCCTCCTCCTATTATTTTCGTCCTTCCCTTTTTCCTCTTCTGCTGCTGCTTCTTCTTCCTCCTCTTATGCCGCTGCTTCCTTTTCTTTCTCTTCTTCCTCTTCTTCTTTTTTCTTCTCTGAATCATTTTCTGAACGTTAAATTTTAAATCTTCTTTATATGTCTTCTCCTCTATTCTCTTGCAAAAGTACCATACCACTCTGTGGAAGAGATTACTAATGCAACTAGACCTGGGCGCCCAATTTTTGTTCGTAATGAGGATCACATTGCAAAAGTCAGAAAACAGATACAAGAAGATCATTTTTTGACTGTGAGGATGATGGCAGATAAATTTGGTGTTAATAGAGAGACCATTCGTAAAATTTAAGTGCGAGATTTGGGCAAGAAAAAAGTTCCTTGCTGGTTTGTACCTTCGTGAAACTGCACCGGCTTACCGGGCGGTAGTTGTACGATAATTTTTGGTCCTAAAATGAGTATGTGTTCTCAACCATGCACCCTATTTCCCAGATTTGCCTCCTGTGATTATTTTCTGTTCCCAAAATCAAAGTTACATTGAAAGGACGCTTCTTTGACGAGATTGATGACATCCAAAGGGCCGTAACATCGACTTCAAGAGCAGTAACAACAGAAGATTTACAGAGGTCGTTCCAGTGTTTGTTAGATCATGCTACGCGCTGTATCAATGCACAAAGGGCTTACTTTGAATAAAATACAGGTTATATCTTCAACTGTTGATGATTTGAATTTTTATGGAATTAGTCTAATTACTTCATTATCGGACCTTGTAGACCAGAATTGATCTTAACCTTCAACCAAAAATGTGCTGTATTTTATATACTCTAGATTGCCCGTGTGGGTCCTGCGGCCCCATTCTTTCAGAGAAAATGAATAGACACACTGTCCACTAACATAGACCCACTGCCAGCTAACATAGACTCACTGCCCACTAACATAGACCCACTGCCCCTAACATAGACCCATTGCCCGCTAACATAGACCCATTGGCCCCTAACATAGACCCATTGCCTCAAACATAGACCCACTGGCCTCTTACATAGACCCACTGGCCCCTAACATAGACCCATTGCCCCTAACATAGACCAACTGCCCGCTAACATAGACCCACTGGCCCCTAACATAGACCCCCTGGCCCCTAACATAGACCCATTGCCCCTAACATAGACCCACTGCCAGCTAACATAGACCCACTGCCCACTAACATAAACCCACTGCCCCTAACATAGGCCCATTGCCCGCTAACATAGACCCACTGGCCCCTAACAGACCCACTGGCCCCTAACATAGAACCATTGCCCCTAACATAGACCCACTGCCCCCTAACATAGACCCACTGGCCCATAACATAGACCCATTGTCCCTAACATAGACCCACTGGCCGCTAACATAGACCCACTGCCCCCTAACATAGACCCACTGCCTGCTAACATAGACCCACTGCTAGCTAACATAGACCCACTGCTAGCTAACATAGACCCACTGCCCGCTAACATAGACCCACTGGCCCCTAACATAGACCCACTGCCCACTAACATATGCCCACTGGCCCCTAACATAACCCACTGCCCGCTAACATAGACCCACTGGCCCCTAACATAGACCCACTGCCCCCTAACATAGACCCACTGCCCCCTAACATAGACCCACTGGCCCCTAACATAGACCAACTGGCCCCTAACATAGACCCACTGCCCCTTAACATAGACCCACTGCCCGCTAACATAGACCCACTGCCCGCTAACATAGACCCACTGCCCGCTAACATAGACCCACTGCTAGCTAACATAGACCCCATGCCCGCTAACAAAGACCCACTGGCCCTTAACATAGACCCACTAGCCCCTAACATCTATACCCACTGCCCCCTAACATAGACCCACTGCTAGCTAACATAGACCCCATGCCCGCTAACAAAGAGTTTACATAGACCCACTGCCCGCCTAACATAAACCCACTGTCCCCTGACATAGACCCACTGGCCCCTAACATAGACCCACTGGCCCCTAACATAGACCCACTGTCCCCTAACATAGACCCACTGCCCCCTAATATAGACCCATTGCCCCCTAACATAGACCCACTGCCCCCTAACATAGACCCACTGGCCCCTAACATAGACCCACTGGCCCTTAACATAGACCCACTGCCCGCTTACATAGACCCACTGCCCGCTAACATAGACCCACTGCCCGCTAACATAGACCCACTGCCTGCTAACATAGACAAACTGCTAGCTAACATAGACCCCATGCCCGCTAACAAAGACCCACTGGCCCCTAACATAGACCCACTAGCCCCTAACATCTATACCCACTGCCCCCTAACATAGACCCACTGCTAGCTAACATAGACCCCATGCCCGCTAACAAAGAGTTTACAGCTGGTGAACACGAAGAAGAAGAAGATATTCAATAGATAAAAACCAAAAAAAATGTTTGATTGTATTTGTGCGTGTATATTCCCTCTCTTGAACTTTCAAGTCACAGTTTGTGTTGTATTTAGTACTTCTTGATCCCCCTTTTTTTTTGGTTCTGGCAGGATGTGTACCCAGAAACCACGACCGAGTACCTGCCGGACCTCCTGAGACAGATGATCTCAACCTTGACAGTAGCATGTGATGACGTCACCGAGTCTGAAGTGGCAGTGACGCTGAAACTTTGTTCTAAACTGTTGTCCCGAGTGCAGCCATCGATGGCAGGCCAGGTTCATCACCGTTCCCATTCATTGGATACTGCAGACAGTATTAGTGTCGTTAGCGGCTCCGAATGCTCCCATACCATCGGTGTGGCTAAACACAAGGGAGTTGAGACTCCAGAGAAGGGCACTAGCAAAGAGAGAGCGACTGATAGTGCCAGTGAAGATGATTCTGTTTTTCATCAGAATGGGGAAGCAGTAGAGGAAAGTACAAGAACTGAGGTTACTGACTGTGTTAGTGCAGAATGTGAGCAGGAGAGAGGTGAGAGGTCACAAACTGATGGACAGTGTGATTCCGCAGACAGCGACAGTAAGCAGGTAATATTGGACATTGACAAGGCTCTTGAGGATAACTTGGCAAATGAAAGAATTCTTCAGAATGAAACAACTGTTGATCATAAAAATAATCTCTTAAACGGAGAGCAGGCGGCGGGACATGGTTTGCATGGTGTTAGAGAGGACAGTGTTATTTCATTAACTAGTGAGGATGTCAAAGACAGTAAGGAATCTTTGGGCAGTTCAGTGACTTTAACAACTCTAGATAGTGGTGTTGATGGGTCTGTAGTCACAGCTTGGACAGAAACTGCAGAGATCAGAGGTAGATCAGAAGAGCAGACTTCTAAAGTGACACAGCCACCAGATTCCCTTAAAACAAATTCCGCAACCACCAGTGCAGGCATATCAGTGCCACCCAACAACACTAGCGCAAGACTGTGGTCTGGTCACCTAAGCCTCATGCAGCTGTGTGTCCAAAGCTTCCAGCAGTTCTTTCATCGCTTCTCTGACCTGAGAATTCTGAAATCTGAGGAGTTCTGCAGTCAGTGTATGAAGAGCATCACATCAACATCCCAGCCAGGAAGCAGAGATGCTCAGATGGATCCTTCAGAGAAGCTTGGGCTGGGGGAGCACAGTGAGGAGGTGACTCAAGCCTACAAGCAAGCCTGCAGGTTGTTGGTGGATTTTGCTAGTTTCCCCATTTATTGCACGGATTATGAGTCCATCATTGAACAAATGTGCAGTAAAGGTCAGCCATTTTTCCTTCTTTTCCCCCCTCTGCTTCATTGGATCATTATTATTATTATCATCATTATTATTATCATCACCATTATCATCATCATTATTACCATCATCATCGTAATTGTCATCATCGTCATTATTATCATTATCATCATTGTCTTCATTATCATCATTATTATTATTATCATTATTGTCATCATTATCATCATTATTTTTATCATCCTTGTCATCATCATCATTATCATAATTGTTATCATCATCGGGAGCTGCCTGGTGTAGTGGCCAGATCCTAAGGTCATGGGTTCCGGTCCTGACAGTACCACACTTTTCTTTTTTTTTTCAGAAATGACCTGGGCTGCCAGGTTGACCCAGCCTTGAATGGGAAGTAAAGGCGGCTGGCATGATGTTGACCACATCACTGAGTGCTGATGTGTCTTTAAAACGATAGGTCTAGCCTTATATGCCCAGTACGCCTGAAGGCGTGGAAAAAGATCCTTTACTTTTTTTTTTTACTTTGTAACTTATCAACATCATCATCGTTACCATTATTATCATTATCATCACCATCATTATTATCATTATCATCACCATCATTGTCATCACTATTGTTATCACCATCATTATCATCATTAACATAATGATCATTATCATCATCATCACCGTCATCATTATTGTTATTATTATTATCATCATCATTATTGTCACCATCATTATCATCATCATATCATCATCGTCATTATTATCGTTGCCGGGTGGCATAGACATTTGCCTTTCTAAAAACCTGGGTGGGTTCTTGGTGGTCTGGATCAATTCTGCTGATGGACTTCTGACCAAAATGGCCAATAGCTGGCTGACCGCTGAGGCTCTGAAAAGCTATTTGTTTCAGGTTAGGTTTTGCTCATGCAAATTTCCCTTTCTGGACCAGGAGTCCAAAGGTTCCATCATCCAGGTACTGAGCAGAGTGCTTAGTGTGAGCAGTGGATTTCATGTTATTTCCACTGCATATGCTACACTGCATTAAAATGGCAGGTGGTAGAATACATTCAAAACGACGTGTTCTTTAGCAGGTGAAATACCGACTTTAATGTTTGACCATTTGTGCCAACAGTAAGCTGCAATTCTGGTGTGGGACAATTAGTAGTTGGCACATCTGACAGCTGGCTTATGCATTTTTACTTTTTTGCCTGTGCAAGCTTGAAGATTTGCCTGGGACTGACAGGTTGTTCAAGAGTTTTGAAATGGGACAGTGAAGCATATTTTGTGTGATCTGCAATGAAACAGAAACAGAGAAGTTGTGGGATATAACCTGTCTGCATTGATGTTGGAACCTCGACTAATTAATTAATTCTACTGATGATAGTCTGCGGCTTAGGCATTGCGAGCACACTTCGTAATGCCGGGGTGTGAGGTTTAGTCCCGGCTGCGGACGATTTGTTGGTTTCGACAGTGGTACCAAGCGCTGACTGTTTAGAAAGCAATGGCAAACTAATGAACGTAACATTTGCCTAGAAAAACCACAACAGGCAAAAACTACTGAGGCTGGTTCTGCAAGGATACCCAACTTTTAACTGATGATATTCTTTGATGTTCTGTGACTGTGGCATTGATGTTTAGAAATTAAATGACTGTTTACATGTCTCTACATATTGTTCTTTGTATCAACATACCAGAGAACAGTTCAGAACTTCCACTGTGGCTTCAGGATCTTGTGATATGCAGCTGTTTTGTGGACTGTTTTGAGGTCCAGGCAGCCTCAATCTCCACTCTCCTGGACTTGATCATACTGACCCAGTCGGTGCAGACAGAAAGTGAGAACAAGACCCGTCACCACAGCCGGCAGTCATTCAGTGAGGGGAGGGTGTCTGTGGTCATCCTACCTGCTCTCTTACCCACACATCTGGTCTACATCAACGGAAAGACGAGGTTCTACCAGGTAATTTAATATTCAAATTTGTGTTGTTCGTCAATCACTGGTAATGAGAACCATTCTTTCTTTCCTCCTTCATGAAACTTCTCCTTCTTCTTCTTCAGTTTCCTTGGCTGTAAACTTGAGCAGAAAGTTCTAGTTGTTTGTCCACTTCTGGACTGTAGTCTTATTTCAGAACTTGAGTTTTGTGTGCACATCCCTTTTACAGATTCAGCTTATCTGTATGCAGACTTTTGGTTCCTTGCCTCTCAAGCTGGCGCACTCTGCCTCCGAAGGAAATTATGAATCTAAAGTTGATTGTGAGTCTGGAGATGACTTATAAGCCAAATGCGGGCTTCAAAGGATCTAGCACAATGAGTACATGCGCACTCACATACACATATGTGACCCATTTTAGGCTGAGTCAGGGGGAGAGGCAAGGTCATTTTATACAATTCTACCTTGATTTAGGTTCGGACCCAGCCCTTCAGGCTTTGAGGCACTTTACCAACTTTGTCATCGTGAATCCCATGTTTACTTAGTTGCTATAGTTATTATCTGTGTCTAACTGTTTGTGTTGGCACTTCTGATGGCTGCCTTGAGCATTTAATGCATTTGTTTTCTGTTAGATTTGCTAAGACAGTAGTCTGCGTACATTTTTTTCCTCACAAGGGACAGTGATGGACATTCCTTCCGGTTTTCAGTTGAGTCATTTGAGTCAAGAATTAACATCACACCACGGGGCATTCCCATATGGGCTCTCTCCTCATCTTCAGCAGGCAGCGCAGAGTTTCAATACTAATGGTACCGGTCCTAGTCTGGTTAAATGTAGTGAGTGAGCCAGCCAGACCCGCTAGATGACCAGATGTATCGTTCTCTCCAGGCCATAATAATCCAGTTTCTCTTCTGACTTTTGTTACTTGTTCCCAAATAACCCTGACAATATCTGCCTTGTTATGTATCAATTCACCATCCAGTGGTGTAGATCTGGCCAATCTGTCCGCCTGTTCATTCTCCACCACACCTGCATGGCCTGGAGAAATGATTCAAAGTATGCTCACTACCCATGTCCTTCCAAGTGAAGTTTGCCACTCTGCTTAAAGCATCCCTGTCTTCTTTCTCAGCATGCTTTCAGAGTCTGTTACAATTACAACATGTGTATGTATCTTGTTCTCTAGCCACCTGATGGCTGCAGTGACTGCCCGCACCTCCATTCTCATGCTGGATTTTGTTTTATCATATGCTGTTGTTGTAGTTGTGGTGGTATTCATTGTGGTGTGGTTTTTATTCATTGGTGGATTTCATTGGCATAGGAGCAGAGCTACTATGGGGTGACCCGTTTGCTATGGCTATGAATTTGGAACTAAAATTACTTGATTATGATTACCTGATGTAGTTATTGTCTTATATTGCTGTGTTTTTTACAATTGTATAGTTGTTTCTGAGTTAAATGCTTGCTCTCTTGTAGATTGTGGCTTCGGAACTGTGGACGTACTTGTCAGAGAAGCACAGTTTACATCACCAGCGAACTGTTGAACTGTTCCATACACTGCACCAGGTCACACCAAATGCGAACATCTGTGAGGATGTGATTGGCCGGGATCTTATCAGTGAATCAGAGGTCAGTTTTAAATGATTTTTATTTATTTTTGTGTTTGTGTAACCAAGAAGAAAAGAAATATTGACATCCTAACAGATGTAAACATGAAGGAAAATTGCCTGGTAAACAGCATCTTTTCTCAGAAACTAACATAATTTGGCAATGTCCAATGCTATTGTGAATTAAAAAGAACAATAGAGGAGAGCATGGTCCCAGGTAAGAGAAGCAGAAGTCAACCAGCATGAAGGGGCGCACAGGACATAAGAGATACCTTGACCAAGAAATTACATGAGGCTGGACAGCTGGCGAGGGACCAAGGTCCTTTCAGGTGGGCTTTGATGGGAGCAGAGCTCTGTGAAAGACCTGCAGCATTATGATGATGTTAGTTTAACAATTGTTTGCAGTGGTATCTATCGTATAAAAACAAACAAAAATTTGAAGCTTAGTCCTCTTTTAGCAGCCAGAAGGCCTGCTTTATCAAGGACGGTTTCTTTGCTATCTTATTTCGGTTCTGTTCCTTTGTGTGTGCAATTACAGCTGAGTTTGTTTTCTCTGGAGTGGAAGTCAAGTAAAGTAAATAATAGATGTCCTTCTTCGTACTACTTACGAAAGTCACCCATCTTGTCGGCCGTAAGATTTTGTAGTGGTTCCGGCCAACTGTCCTATGTCCGAGGAGTGTTATGAGATGTCTTCCTTCGGCGGCTATACACAGCCTGCTGAAAAGTGGCTCAGGTTCGCTTGATGTGGTCAGTGCACTGTTTTCCAGACAAATGTTAGCAGCTTTTTGCAACTTCATTTTCTGTGAACGACTACTGTTTCTGGAATGCAGGAAAGAAGTACTACAGGGAAGCACCAAAGGTGTGATGGTTCATGACTAAAGAATCATTAATGCTTTTGTATTTTTACGCTTGTTGATGGTGGCTGTCATCAGTGGTGGATGTGCTTACAACATTCAGAATGAGGAACACATGACTTCCCTAGAGTGTTCCAGGAAGTCCTTTACGAAATCTTGGGGCTGATAAGATGGGGTGATTTTTGTGAGTTGTACCCCTTCTTCTTCTTTTTTCTTCTTCTGCTGCTGCTGCTGCTGCACATTCATTGGCCGCCTTCTTTGAAGGAAACAATTCTAATTAGCCCTCTCCTACGACATGCTAGTTACGGGGCAATGCGGCTGTTCCTTTTCCCCCCCACATTGGAGCCCCAGAACCCACATGGGGAAGGCACCCCTTAATAGATATGGTTTGTGTGTCATTGTTGTTTGCTCTGCCACACATTTCTTCTCTTTCAGTTGGAGAGGATATCTGCTTTCAAGAAGTTCACTGTGCTCTGGCATTTGACTAGGTCAATCAAGACAGAAGCAAACCCCTCCCGCAATCCCAGGACATTTGACAGGTGGGTGATCACAGTTTCTTTCTTCTTCTTTTACCTTTCTTCTCACAATGCAACCAGTTAACACCACAGTTCTTGTAGACTTGTTTAATAGTTTGATTGAATTTTGTAGGTACATTTTAAAAAAATAGAACAAGGTAGCTTGTCCAACACTGATCCTTAGAGGTCTGTCACAGTGGCAATATTCTTTGCTACATGGTGACAGACAGTTATCATTTTATTTTCTGTTAATTTATTGAAGATTGAAACCAGTGACACAATGAATTTAAGAGCAATAGATGAAATGGTTTAGTCATCTGGCGAGAATTTCCTACTATCAACTGCCACAGAGAGCCAGGTTTAAAAACCTTAGTGAACGCAGATCATGGAAAAAACAATGCAGAGGATGGATGATAACATCAAGAATAACTTTAGAGGAATAAAGACAAATTATACAGTCAGTGAGTAGCACACCTTGGAAGGCTAACTCTGGCAATAAATGTCCAAACAGTCAGGTGAGTCCATGGGAAGGGTGCATCTGCGATTATACTGTGAATCAGCACAACACTATTACCTCACTAAGATGAACAAAGCAGAAAAAGAGCCGAAGATCTTTAACCCATGGGGGTACCAGGCCTCATTGGGCCAGAAGCAAAAAGACCTACTGCCCCCTAACAAGCATGTCATAAAAATCAGCTAATTAGGGGTGTTTTTTTTTAAAAGTCTAAGTGCATATGTCTGAGGGGTGGGAAACCAACAGTCTGCATACAAATAAGCCAGATCTGTACACTAGATGTGCATGCAAAACTGGCTGTATTCAGTACTTTTGGGGTTTATCAGAGGGGGAAGGTCTTTGAGCCTGAGGATTTAAGGCCGCCTGGCTAATGCCGCTACTACAGACCGTACAGGTGTTAGAATCTTCATGTCTAACAGTTAAAAAGAAGAAACCAGATCTTTACCTGTAAATTTATTTATCTGCAAGTGAGAGGAAGTGAGTGAGCTACCTCATTTCTTACGTCTCTCCTTTACCTCCGACGGCAGATCTATGTTCGTGGTATTGGACAGCCTGAAAGAAGAGTCTAGCATTACCAAAACTCTGGCCTTGACCTGGCTGACGCATGTGATCCAGAGAAGTGACACCAGCAGAGTTCTTCAGCCATTGCTGTTGATGCTGCTACATCCAGATACAGCCAGGTAGGCCACAGTACATCATCCTAAATCAGTCAGTCAGTCACAACATCATCCTCAATCAGTCAGTCAGTACATCATCCTCAGTCAGTCAATCAGTCAGTCCACAGGACATCATCCTCAATCAGTCAGTCAGCATGTCCTTTACAGAATGTTGCTCTCTTCACGTCACACCTGAAAGTCACTCTTTCTGTAGCCATTTCTCCAGCCCTTTTTGCTTTCATAGTCCTTTATGCATCTTCTGTGCCCTGTGTCTTCATCTGGGGAAGTCAGCCTCTTCCTCATTTTCCGTAATCTACACCCTCCATAACTGTACTCTGCAGACCACCAGGGTGATTGACATTTCCAGAGTACCTTACCTTTTGGGAGAGGATGCTGTTTATAAGTCATTTCTCCTTGACGTTCAGGTCACGCAAGATGTCACTGTTTTTCTTCTTCTTGGTTACTGGTATTTTGAGAATCTTTTTATAGCATTTCACTTTAAAAGCTCGGTTTTCTTCTTCAAAGACTGAGTCAGAGTCCATGAGTGCAGGTGCGGAATAGCCCCGTGACCTTGTGTGAAAGTTGGATCGATCGAGGCCGACCTATCAGAAGTGAGGTGGTCAGTAGGTCATCCAATCAGAAGCCAGCCAGTGTGTGGCGGTGTGTAAATGGGGAGACCAGCATAAAATTTACCGGTTCTTCGTGTTTTTTAGCCTCTGCTTTGCTAGAGCAAATTTTTTTTTTCAACTTCTTTTATCATCCAACTACATTTATATTCTGTAAGTGGTCTGTACCTTTCAGAGGTTAGAACTCGAGCCGCACGACTTATAACCAAGTGCAACTTAGGTTGCATAATTAATGACTTGTGACTCGACTTGGAGTTTTGTCCAGTCGGCTCATGGCTTGGCTTGTGACCTGTAGCTTTGATGATTTTCTATGACTTGTTCTTCGCAGTCAGTCACTGTGAGGTTTGGTGGTCAAATAAAATAATAATAAAACAATGTGTAAACAGCTCAGTTTTCTATAAATTTATAAAAATAAAAATTGCTTCAATATAAAAGTTAAAAAAAAAGTAAAGATCCCTTTTCACGCCTTTCGGCGCATCGGGCATATGGGCAGAGCGTCCCATATTTTTACAGACCATCAGCACTCTGTGGGTAATGTGGTCAGCATTACGCCGGCTGTCTTTACTTTCCCAGGACAGCCCATCCTGGTACCCATTTTAGGCTGCGACGTCCCATACCACTTGCTTCAATATGCTGTTGTATGGATTCAGTTCAGCTGTTTACATACAAAATACAAAAGGTTGTTGGCTTTTGTTTTGGTATAATACCAGACTAAGTAGTTTAGTCCATAAGTATTGTCCCTTGCACGACTTGCAAATGACTTGAGACATGAAGCGACTTGACTCGGGACTCAAATTGGAAGCATTCTTGGTTACTTGAAACTTGGCGGCAATGACTTGGGGCTCAACTTGGAAGCATTCTTGTTGACTTGAAACTTGGCGGCAATGACTTGGGACTCTACTTGGAAGCATTCTTGGTGACTTGAGACTTGATGGCAGTGACTTAGGACTCTAAAGCATTCTTGGTGACTTGAAATTTGGCGGCAATGACTTGAGACTCGACCTGGACTTGAAGTGTGCCGACTTAGTCAAACATCGGTTATCCTGTATAGCACCGCAGATGACACATGGCTGGTGCCCTTATTTTAACTTCTTTGAAGGTTGAATGGGGTATCTGAAATCTGCCTGGTGGGTCTGTCATCCAGATTAAGATTTTCAAACCTCTGAATGGTATGGTCAATCTTTCGGTAGCAGCTCTATGGGGGCAGACTGATCGATCGATCTTTTGTAGGTAACTAAGAACCCTTTTTTTTAAATGTCAGTAACATATCTTGCAAGAACCCTTATTTTTAATGTCAGTAACATATCTGGCATATGCAAGACTCATCTTTTTATTGACCAGTGAGCAACATGGTCATTACTATACTGGCCACCTTTACTTCCCAGGACATTACCTGGACCCCATTTTAGAGAGAGCTTCGTTGTCTGGGTTCCGGGGTCCCACTCTGAGGAGGGAAAAACAGAAAGAATAGACTCACTGCCTCGCTAACCAGCATGCTGTACAAGGTAACTAATTAGGGGGGTTTCCTTCCAAGTCGGAGTGCATCTGCCTGCGGGGTGATGAACCAGCAGTCTGCACATAAATAAATAAGCCAGATCGGTAAAATGATGTGCACACAAAACTCAAAACTTATGGAACAAGACCAAAGTGATGAAATGGACAAACAACCAGAACATTCCACTAGAGTTTACAGCCGGTGAAAGTTGGGAAGATAATGAAGAAGACTGAGTCAACCTGGCAGTCAGGGTCAGATTTGAATACAAAAACCCAACATGATGCAGGTTAACATTCAAGACCTTCAGGCTGGCTGGCAAGTGTCTGGTCACTACACCACCACAGCTTGTTTGCATTCTGATTTACTTTATATCTGTGTTGGTTTTCTTTGTGAAGCATCACTTTCATTACAGTTTTTTAATTTGTTTTTTAAGTAAATTGTCTGCTGTTGATCTAACCTTAGTATTCACGGACTTTACAGTTGTTATGCATATTTACTAATTATGCTATTGCCAATCAGGTGCTGTCTCAACAGTGAAAGTTGGCTGCAATGTAACTCCAACATGCTCTGTCTCTTATCTTGGTTGTATACTTTCTCAGACTGCTGTTTCGTCCATCCCTTGAAATTTCCCCCACTTGTAACATTGCCATCCACCTTACCCTAAGTCTGGATTTTAAAGATATTACTTCTTTTAATGTCTCATTTTTATTTCTTTCAGTAAGTCTCTTTTCAATGCAATCTTTCCATAACCTCTGTATTTGATTGTTTTTAATGAAGCTAAAAAGCTGCATTATCTTCTTCTTCTGTTCTCTACTCATGGAATGCCTCGCGGCGTCAGGGAAGGAAGAGATCTCTGGAACTGGCCCTATTGTTTGCTTCATATATGGTACTTTTCAGTGTCTTTTATATTTCTGTGGTTCATTTTCTGCATGTTCGACCTCTAGGTCTGTTACCGTTTTATCTGTATAACATTGCTCTTTGTGGTACCCTCTCTGATGCCAAACGTGTTACATGGCAAAACCATTTGATCTGTTGTCTACTGATAAAGTTCAGTGTTGGTTCTGTGCCTACTCACCTCTTGATATCATCATTCCTAAGTTGATCTTACCTTGCTAAACCTAGCATAATATGTAAACACTTCATTTCTCCTGTGATTATTTTGCTTTTCTCCTGCACTGTCTGCTGTTATATTTATCTGTTTGGTGTGGTGATTATCATTACGATTGTGTATTTATCTGTCTATTCAAGTTTATCATTCTTTATTTAAATTTCTTTCTTTGTGTGCAGGATCTCCATTCAACACGTGAGTGTTCACAAGTCCAAGAAAGTGGCTGTCTCCGAGAAAGGGGATGAGGACTTGGAAGCCAAAATCTTTGCCATCAGCTCCGAAGGCGGCAACGTAATCTACCACGTCAGCCAGGGCAAGCACCCGCAGATGGGCAAGAAACTGATTCAGAAATCCACGGAAGATTTGAAATCCTACGCTCTGTCGGTCATGAACAATAAGGGTGGGCACAGTACTGCACCCGTGCGCACACACTCCGTCACCGATCTTTCATTCGAGAGGGTCAACCCAGAGAAGGTCAAGTTAAGAATAAATCCATTTGGTTCAGAGAGTTCCCTCGATAAACTGATATTTGACGGCTATGATTTCCCGCAGTCGGCATCCATGCCAAACCTGGAAGGTGTCAAAAGACTGAACTCTGACACGTGTAAAAAAGAAGGGATATTTTTTGATGGCTCAGAAATCGTCGAGGATCATTTTTCACTAGAGAGTCCCAAAGCAACGGTTACAGTTACCAGTCCATCACCTGAAGAAGACACAGCTATAGAAAGGCAAGATGAGGTTTATGAAGACCCACCAAACAAGGATCTTATGACATCAGAACAAGTTGCTAGGTGGATTCTGGATGGTGTGATTGCCGCGGCTGTGAAGGACACTTCAGGCAGTGTCACTCCCAGTGAAGCCGATGTTGATTTCTCCGTAAAAACTCAGTCAAGCCTAGGAATGGAACAGTCTTACATCTCCCCAAGTTTGGATGACTTGAGAAAGATTGATGTCGACTCCTCCTCTGATAGTGACAATGGTGACAGCAAGAATGTTTCCAGTGCTAGTGACACTTTAAACTACCAGATGGTTAATTCCAATAATAGAAGCGGAAGTACTGAGAGCCTGACAATTCAGGACTCTGAGCAGACGACCCAGCGCCCAATTGACCCTCGTGACCTGGACCCCAGTACGGATATTCATGAGCTGCATATGCATATGCTTCTCTACACCCAACAGTATGATTATCGGCGTACACTGTATGCATTGTCTACTCTCCGAGCAATGCTTTACTCTTGTCCCCGACTGGTTGTCACAGCAATGGCTACAACAAATATCAGTTCTGTGCGGCCGCCACATTTAGCAAAGCTGCAGTCATTACTTGGTGAGTAAACTGTCTGTCTGAGGTAACAGTAGCAGAGTTTACAATAGATTTGAATTTTGTGCAGTCACTATTTAGTTATTGATCATTGTGAGACAACTATCAGTCAGTCACCAGGTCCTTCACAGAATGTCCTTGTCGTCACGGCATGCCTGAAAGTCTCTCTTTCTCTAACCAGTTCTCCAGCCCTATGTGCTTTCATAGCCAGTGCATGTATCCTGTATCCACTTTTGCGGATGTCAGCCCCTGTTTCGTTTTCTGGAAACTGCATCCTCCTTTACTCTCCAGACCAGCATGGCACTTGACATATCTAAAATACTTCAGCTTTCGGGAGATGATGCTGTTTATGAGCCAGTTTTCCTTGATGTTCAGGTTTTGCAGAATGTTGATGTTTTTCTTCTTCTTGATCAACATTATTCTCAGAACTTTCCTATAGCAATTCAGTTCAAAAGCTCTGATTTTCTTTTTCAGAGACTGAAAGTGAGACAACTGGGAAAAGCAAATGCAAACTAGCAACTTAATGTGATGGAAAGGTTGACCAGGCCCTTAGCCTTGGATGGCAGCTGGTCTAAGAGTGAAGCTCCAACAGGTGGACACATAAAGCAGTGCTATTCAGCTTCTGCAGCATGTTTAGTTCTAAATGTATTATTGTTACCTTTCTTTTGGAGTAAACAAGGCAGGCCAAGAGAGGAATTAGGCAGCATGGACGGCAGATGGTCTGTGCAGTACTGCCCAGGCTTTGTGCTGTGGAGTGGAGAAACTTCACCCCTGGCTATTAATGGTTTTGGAAAATGTAAGCGAGTCTTGCTAGCGACATTCGCCATCACCACAGGCTGCATATGTATGCTTATTGCCTTATGTAATCTGCTGTTCTCTGTGGATTCAGGATGCAGTCTGCAACAGGCTGGATCTGTGCTCAAGTTAATATAGATTCAGTGGTAGTTGTGTTGTTCTTGAGTTTCTTCTTCACATTCTCAAGCCTGCATGGCTCTTTTCTGCATGCACAGTCTTTTTCTGACTTACTTTTTTTTTTTTTAAACCAATACTGTATTACCAGTTCCAAACACAGACGTTAACAATAACAACAAAATTGGAATCATCAGAAATGAAATGTCAACCCAAATCCTATATTTAACTAGAACAGACAGGATCAGAAATGACAGTATCAGGAAAGAAGTTGGCTCGGAACTACATCCAGAGACATTAGATCATGTGGTTCGGAATGTGTCAAGACTACTACCAGGTAAGGCATCACAGAGAGACCTGTCACTCAGACACAATTAAAGCAGAGCTAGAAGTGATGGATTGGATAAGTTTAATATCCAAAGCCAAAAATACCAACATCTAAGTAGTTCGGAGGCAGGACATGTCTCTTCAAAACCTGAGGCTGAAAGAAAGAACAGGACTAGAGAAGGAAGTGGATGTGAAGTTGCAGCACTGGTCTTGCCATTCTTTCAGGTTTCTGAGGTAAAAGATGGGAAAGAAGAAGCGGCTGGAGAGGATGATTGCTTGGCATATTTTGCTGTGTCTCCTGGGCTGTATACTTCAGTAATAATTCAATGAAATAGCTCAGATAAATGAATCCTTTACAGCTGATGTGCAGAATCAACCACACTCAAAATTAACTGCCTGTTTGACAAGGGTACGTGCAGATGTACTATGTCTTTTTGTATGCACGGATGTGGAAAGTTTATTTGCTTCTTTTAGCGATACAGTAAAACATTTTTTTTTAATGTAATTTCTTGTGAATAATATTGTTATGTGATATCCATTCCTACTAAAATGATTTATCCATAACTTTCAGGAAGACACCGGAAGTCTGTCTTTGGCAAGAACTTTTTTGGGGATCTCCCACCAGAAGTGATGGCCAGTTACCGTAGCAACATGTTTGTGGAGATAGTGATCTCCCTTTGTCTGTATTTTGTGCGGGGCTACTATCCCAACCTTATGATGAGCAAGCTGACCAATGAAGAACTGCTGGGAAATAGAATGGTGGGTGTTCTTATTTTAGCTGGCCGGTGGTCAGTGTATGATACTTTTTTATTTCTTTCTTTCTTTTACTTTTCCCCATGTAGTTTTATTTTTTTAATGTTTGTTCTATTTTTTAATTGTGTTGTGTACAGTGGAATGTCAGGATATAAATGTACCTGGATATTGTTTTTTCATGACACGCTGTCAGGCTTGCCGATTGTATCGCCTTCTCGATGTGGGTTCCAGGGCTCCATTTTGGAGAACATAGAATAAACCTACAGCCTTCCCAACAAGCATGTTGTAGGAGCCAGTGATTCGGGGCATTTCCTTCAAAGTACGAGTGCATCTGCATGAGAAGCAAGGAACCAACAGTCCGTATACAAGTAAACCAGATCTGTTGAATGGATGTGCATGCAGAGCTCAAGTTTTGGATTAAGACCAAAGCCCAGGAGTGGATGAACAACCGGAACTTTTCCACCAGAGTTTACAGCTGGTAAACACTGAGAAGAGGAGGCAGAAGAAGAAACAAACTGTCAATCAGGGAAAACGAACCCTGTTACTTGACATCCATGAAATTGTTCAACGCATTCACTAACCTCTAAGCCAGAGAGCTATATTGAAAACAGGTAAACTCGATGGTTAAGGAAAAGTGAAAAAAAAAAAAAAAAAGCATGGCATGGCTTGAAACAGAGATTGTTGGTTGAGCTGAACTATCATACCCTCACTAACAAGCATAGCACAGAGTGATGATGGTGATCAACCTTGTGGAAATTTCTTTGTCCAGAGAGATTGCAGTTGTGAGTTGACATAAATGGTGGTTGTTTTCAGTTCACGGGTGCAATTCATATGGAGATCCTTGGGAATCGCTGCCGAAGCTTCAGAGTTTGTGCTGTGTATGATGCTCTTGGCAGGCAGCTAGCCATTCTGCTGGAAGAGACCGAGCCTTATGGCTTCCAAAACGGTGCAGGGAAATAAATTCTGTCACCCTTAGACAAGCTTTCAAAAGAAGGTAAAATTTTTGTTCATTTATTTCTGGCCAGGTTCACATTTTGGGGATAGAGATTCTAACCCTGCTGGTGTCTGAACTCCTGTCCATCATGAAGGAGAGTGGCAAGAACTTTGTATCCTACATCTCCGACCTGCTGTCCCGTTGCAAGCTGCAGAAGTCCCTTCTCCATTGCCTCCTAGCATCCGTGTACAACCAGGGTTGTAACGGTCCGGCCAGCAACAGCAGCAGGACGGAGGCTGTCAAGCTGACCGAGATGATCATTGACTTCAACGAGAACAGCCTGGACCCCAGCGTCAACGACACATTCCAGATGAAGTTGCTGCAGCTGATGCTGGTGATGATCATGCTGGAGGACCAGATCCGGCTAGCGCAGGGAGTTCCAGATTCTAGTTCATCTGCGGGAGAGAGAACACACCTGACTGTGAGTTGTTCTTTAAATTTGTATGCCGTTAATGAAACGCTTCAAAGTGAGTGTTTCTTCGAATCTCATCAGTAATGTTTTGGTCATTAACTGGTGCCTGCCTGCGCAGAATAGAAAGAAATCAGTTTCACTTTACAAAGAGTGGTTCTCGGGAGTGTCTGCAAGGTAGCTTCTCCTTGAGGCTGCGAGGCCTAATGAGGTCAATCCGCTGACCCGCCCACTGGTCTTCTCGCATTTGTCGGTTCATCAAGTGGTGCCTGCCTGCGCAGAAATAGAAAGAATTCATATTCACTTCACAAAGAAGCTTGCATTGGATAGGACACAAATTGGGAAAGCGCTAGAACAATATAACTAGAATGTCTTTACACTGTAACCCTCCGGGGTATAGATATAAAGAGAGGCCCAAAAACAAACAGAGAGGGGAGCTAGAGAGTAAAGTTTAAATGATTGGGAGGACATGGGCTGAGCTGCATACAATAGTGAAGGATAGAATGATTTGGCATGAGTTGGTTGAGGGCCTATGCTACATTGGGGATAGAAGGAAGAAAGAATAAGAATACCCTACTTACATTACTTACCTTTAGTAATGCCCTGGTTTCATTACTTGTTATCTGTAATGCCCTGGTTACTTTTTCCATAGTGATTACCTAGTTAAATTACTTCCCATTAGGAATACTTCTAATAATTTCCATAAGTAATTGACTAGTTACTGTACTGGACGTAAATTTGCCTAGAGAAACCACACAACAGCCAGGGGCTGCTGGGGTTGGTTCTGCAACATCCTGTAAAGGATACGCAACTAGCCTTTCATTGACTAGTTATAATTCCTGAAGTACCTTATCTAGAGTAGTTATGATCAGTAATTGTTTGGGTACATTAGTTCCCTCAATAAAGCTTTATTTACATTACTTTCCATTGCTTATGGTCTGGTTACTATCATTTTCATTAGTTTCATTAGTAATACTCTAGTTACATCATTAATCCCCTCAGTAATATCTTTGTTATATTTGTTCTGGTCAGTAATAGTTACTAATGCTCTAATCACTATAATTCCCATCAATAATACCATGGTTACTATAATTCCCATTGGTAATGCCCTAGTTGTAGTTAGTTCCCATCGGTAATGCCCTAGTTGTTGGTAGTTCATATTATTAATACGCTAGTTGTATTTAGTTCCCATCGGTAATGCCCTAGTTGTATTTAGTTCCCATTAGTAATGCCCTAGTTGTATTTAGTTCTCATCTACAAAACTTGGCATGTGCTATCGACTAACTATGACAGCACTTCTGCTCCGTCCCCAGTCTTCCTTACTGAATGTCCACTACAACCCCAACCTTCCGGTCATCCAGCAAGAGATGTTTCTCAGTGCCGTCTGGAGCGCTCTCAAGCAGCATCATTTGTGCCACCTGCACCGCCACTGGGTGGGTTTGGTCACCTCGGCACTGCCCTACATGGGCAAGGCTATGGCGCGGACTGTGCTTTGTGTAGTGCTACAGTTGTGTCGTAATCTGGAGATCATTGCTGCAGACCTCACCAAGAAAAAGTGAGTCATTCTTGTGGGTTTTTTTTTTTATAGCTGTTGTTATTGTTGTTTGGTACTAGATTTTCTGTCTGTCTTTGTCATGGTTTTTGTTGTTTGATACTAGATTTTCCTGTTTATCATTGTTGTTTGGAACCTTCTGGTTTGATACTAGAGTTCACCAACAGAAGGAAAATGCTAGTACGTTGTGACAGCAGGAAAGCTGAAACGGTTAAAGAAGCAAGCGGAGATCATTAGGGAGGATGCTAGACAGTTCAGCATCATGTCAAGGTGTACTTAAATCCTGTGCCTGTCTTCATGCTGGTCGGCCTCTGCCCTGTTTTTGTGGCTCCACTCCTGCAACTATTCTTTTATCTGATTGCAGGTGTCAAATATTACAGGTGTCATATAGTGTTCTTTCATATTTTGAGTGATATAACCTTCCTTGCATCCCTCTGTGGGTTCTGGTGCTCTATTTTGTAGGGGCTGATGCCCACTATTAAGCATGTTGTAGGAGGCAACTAATTAGGGTGTTTCCCTTGAGGTCAGAGTGTATCTGCCTCCAAGGTGAGAATTGAACAGTCCGCATACAAATAAGCTAGATCTGTAAAACGAATGTGCAGCCAAAACTCAAGTTCTGGAACAAGACCAAAGTCCTGAAGTTGATGAACAAGCAGAACTTTCCTCCACAGGAGTTTACAGCTGGTGCATGCTAAGAAGAAGGAAAAGATCAGCGCCATCATCATCATCATCATCATCATGTGCTTTGCCAATTGGCATGAGCTGTCAAAGCCTCGGCAAAGCTTGTACCAATTCTGCAAAAAACATTAAAGAAGAAAATCAACAGTCGGTGTATACTAAGAAGAAGAAAATGAAGAATTCCTGTGCGTATTGTGAAAGATAACTAAAAGGGTTGACATAAGACTGGTCATCTCATCCACTTACAATCTCTGTGTGGGTTCTGGGTCCTCAGTTTAGAGGGGGTGGGTGGGGGGAGAGACCGGACCGACTGCTCCCTAACAAGCATGTCCTAAAAGCTGACTAGTTGGAGTTTTGCTGAAGTTAGATGCGTTGAGCCAAAAGGCACAGCAGTTATTGCAGCCTAGCTGTAAACTACAGCACAGCATACCAACCGCCCTTCAAGGGCATACGCAGAACATGAAGAAACAGAAGAATATCCAGTTAAAAGATGTTAGCATCACGATCCAACCAGTCATGAACAAAGCTATCAAGAGCTTGGTGTCACTTGGTCGAGAGCCTATGCTCCATTCGGAGCACTAATGACTATTCTGTGTCTGTAACTAGTCACCATCTCTGACACACAGGTCCAGTATGCAGAAGGTTCCCCCAGACCATGTGGTCAGCATGCTGGAAGGGCTGACCACTCTGTGCCACTACTGCCTTCTGGACAACACCAACCCAGTGTCAATTGGCCAGCCTGCTCCATCCAGCATTAACATCTCCACCGAGACGGCCAGCGCCGGGCAGATCCTCACTAACCTCATTAGTGTGTTCAACCCGGTCACCAGCGGGAAGGTAACTGCCATCTTACTGTCACTGCTGCTAGCTGACTGTCATGACTGCCTGTCATTACTGCCATTTAACTGTCATTACTGCCATCTAACTGTCATTACTGCCATCTAACTGTCATTACTGCCATCTAACTGTCATTACTGCCATCTAACTGTCATTACTGCCATCTAACTGTCATTACTGCCATCTAACTTTCATTACTGCCATCTAACTGTCATTACTGCCATCTAACTGTCATTACTGCCATCTAACTGTCATTACTGCCATCTAACTGTCATTACTGCCATCTAACTGTCATTACTGCCATCTAACTGTCATTACTGCCATCTAACTGTCATTACTGCCATCTAACTGTCATTACTGCCATCTAACTGTCATTACTGCCATCTAACTGTCATTACTGCCATCTAACTGTCATTACTGCCATCTAACTGTCATTACTGCCATCTAACTGTCATTACTGCCATCTAACTGTCATTACTGCCATCTAACTGTCATTACTGCCATCTAACACTTCTAGGCACTCTAAGATGATATCTGGAGGTTTCTCCTCTTGATTTATCACTCTCTCCCTGGGCAGGCTTTCTGATGCCAAGTCAAGGGGAGATAAATAAAGTGGCCTGTTACTGCCTGTGTAGTCAACCACTTGGGTGTTGTGGTCAGAACTGAGATTAACTCTCTCTTCATGTGCAGCCACACTGAAGATGATAAGAGAAGCAGGTGCCCTGTCATTCTCTGTCTCAGCCTGAATTTCTTCTTGTTCAGCCGAACAAAAGGAAATATGAGAGTCGCATAAGGTCTTGCCCTTGCTCTCATTAGTGGCTTCATCGTCACAGTGTGTTTTGTAGGCAAGTAGGCAATGCCTTACAAGCATTCACTTTACATCAGTGTGTGTGTGTGTTTTTTATTGTTTGAAAAAAAAGTAGTATTTGTGTTCCATAAAATATAAATTTGTTGGTGTATTGCAGTTTAAGTATCTGGGCACATGGATAACATCAGATGGAAGATGCATAACTGAGATAAGAAACAGAATAGGACAGGCAAAAACTGCATTTTATAAAATGAAAAACATCTTGTGCAATATATCCTTGTCATTGAGAGTTAGAAAAAGAATTTTTGCTTGCTACATACATCCAGTTTTAACATATGGCTGTGAATCCTGGACAATCGGTAGGAAGGCCAAACAATTTCTTGAGGCCTCAGAGATGTGGTTTTACAGAAGAATGCTTAGAATTCCTTGGACAGCCAAAAAGAGCAACCAAGAGGTTTTGAAAGAGGCAGGAGCCCGAAGGCAACTTATCACAGACATCAGAAGGAGACAGTCATCGTTTTTCGGCCATGTTATGAGAAGAGGGAAAATAGAACATGTTGTGACCACTGGAGGGATAGAGGAAGACAACGAGAGAAGAAGCTTGACAGTCTTGTTGCATGGCATGGAGGTGTGTCGGCACATGAACTGATACATGCTGCAGGAGATCTCAGATTATGGAGAGGCATGATCGCCCACGCCAGTTGGCAAGGCACCTGATGATGATGATTCCAGTTTACAATTCCTCTATAAAAAAAAAACCGAAAAAATCCATTTAATGTGTGTTTCAGTCATCAGTAGTTATAATTTTAATGAGGAGAAGAGAAAATAGAATTATCAAACAGATGCTGAAATGGGAATGAGATAGATTGAGGAAATCGGTATGCCCAAGAAAAAGTCTAAATTGAATGTTCTTGAGAAAAACCACAGGACATATATTGAAAGGATTGCACATATCATAACGATTAGAAGATAAGGTAGGCTCTGAGTCCTGTTTGACATATAACACAACAGCTTGATAAAATTCCTGTATTTCTGATGTAAATCTTCTGCTCTTAAAAAAATCGTTCTTGCAGGAACCTAGCCCATCCAGAGATTCGGCCCCAGTGTCTCCAGTACTGGATGCTAGGAGTCGTCTGCTGGGTATCCTGCCTCGCATCATGGCCTGTATGGCGATGCTGTGGAAGGCTGTTGCCATCACGACAGAAGAAGGTGCTGCGTATGTGACCAGCCACCCGGCTGTTGGAGATTTTAAGGTCTGCTGTTCTTGTGTGTTTGTGTCTATAAGAAAGAGAGAGAGAGAGAGAGATTTTGTATCTGAAAATTGAGCTAGCACTCAGGAAACCATCTATTAAACACAGAATGACTCATATTTAATCAGCAGGGCTGGATAATTAGGTATGTCTCCTTTACAGGACATTGCAGAACCAACTCCAGCTGTTCTTTTGGCTGTTGTAGACTCTCAATACCACTGTTGAAACCAATGCAAGGCGGTCTGCTGCCAACTCACCTGCAGCTGGGATAGAACCCGGCACTACAAATGCAACGCCTAAGGGAAGTTAGGATGGTACCAGTACTATATCACATCAAGAGACAACAGAGCAGATGGTTTTCACGTGTCAAGATTACTACCAGACAGTGCACCACAGAGAGACCTGTCACTTAGGCATCGCGGAGCAGATCCAGAGGTAGACCGCGCAATCAGTGGATAGAGGAATATCTGGGGCTGAAAATACAAGCATCTATGGGCATACCAAGACTTCTTCCTCGTCTGCCTCATCAGAACCTGATGCTGAAAGGTAGAATATGATCAGAGAAGAAGTTGATGTTGATGAAATTATAATCACCTGTTTAAAAATGTGTGAAAGAATTGATGCACAGAAGGGCAGACTTTTAGAAGAGCCTGTATGCACAGTTCTGAATCCTTTGAAACTAACTTTTATTTTTTTTATTTTTAATGTTTGTTCATGTTGGCTGTAATAGGCATTCCCAATTTGAGAACATTCCACTACATCATTGTACCAAATAAAATCAATGACAATGTGTTCTTTGTTTGTGAAGTATAAATGCATTGTAGTGTAGATGTGTTGTAAAGTGTAGATTGTTGTAAAGTGTAGATATGTTGTAAAGTGTAGATGTGTTGTAAAGTGTAGATGTGTTGTAAAGTGTAGATGTGTTGTAAAGTGTAGATGTGTTGTAAAGTGTAGATGTGTTGTAAAGTGTAGATGTGTTGTAAAGTGTAGATGTGTTGTAAAGTGCAGATATGTTGTAAAGTGTAGATATGTTGTAAAGTGTAGATGTGTTGTAAAGTGTAGATGTGTTGTAAAGTGTAGATGTGTTGTAAAGTGTAGATGTGTTGTAAAGTGTAGATGTGTTGTAAAGTGTAGATGTGTTGTAAAGTGTAAATATTGTGTAAAGTATAAATGTGTTGTGAAGAATAAACTCATTGTATAGTATAAATGTGTTGTATATATTTATTGTAAAGTATGAATGCAGAAAGCTCACATGACACACTGGCTAAGCCCTCTAATGTCAATGTAAGAATCTTCTAACCTTTGACTCTACAAGATGTGTCTTTCAGACTTTATGTTTGCTAATGTCCTGCATCCATTTGTACAGCTTCATATTTATATATTTTTGTTTTAAATTTCACCCTTAGTCTGTGAGACAACATATTCTTGAGTTGTTAAGTCCCATCTCCCTTCCACATGGGACCAATCTGTTAGCAGCGTTTGCTGTAGCTTGGAATGACCGGAGATCAAAGTCTTCAGCAGCCACAAGTGTGCAGAAGGTAAGAATTGTAATGCCATCATTAACTCATTGACTGCCAGAGCAAACATAATACAGTATGACAAAATACATAAATGAATGGTTATAGAGCCATCATTAACTCATTGACTGTCAGAGCAAACATAATACAGTATGACAAAATACATTAATGAATGATTAGAGAGCCATCATTAACTCATTGACTGCCAAAGTAAACATAATACAGTATGACAGAATACATTAATGAATGATTGTAAAAAGTAAAGATGGTCAAATGTTTAAATTACCTTGACACCAAGAACCTGATCTTGGTCTAGTCCCTCTTGGTAAGATTTGTTTCTGGCCATTTCGTTTTTAAAAAAATGTGTACTAATATTTGTCTGTCTGTCTTTTTTTTTTCTTTCTTGATTTCCTTCTTGTGTTTCTACTTTATATTCATATAATATTTATTGCTTTTTACATAACAATGCGTTATAGATGAAATAAAATTGCTTTGTTCAGAAAGACGGCGTGTAAGATGGGCTTGCATGCAAAATTTTTGACCTGTAATAAATGAATGAAATTTGTTCAGTCTTTCTTTCTGTGTGCCATCTCCTAAACTTTTTTTTAGAAGGGAATCTCTTCTAATAGCCGTGCAGATGATCTGTTTATTTAAAGTTTTAATTTTTCAACTGACAGGTAACCTTTCAAGAGTGTGGGGACCAGCTGTTGCTGGTAGAGCTGGTAAGTGCCATCAGGGTACTGCCTACGGATACGCTGATCCAGACAGTCAAACAAGCCATCAGACAGCCACCGCAGAGTGAATTAGGCAAGGTGGGCACCATGAAGATGTGTATGATTTTCTAAATGGTCGTTGAAAACAGCCTTCTTTCTGCCATAAGGCATTTAGCTAAAATTACAGGACAGTGACAGATAAATATACCCTAAACACACAGAACACGAACACTCCTAGAGGACACACAATAATCTTTAATGTACAAAGATCTCAAACACCTGGCAGTTTGCTCCAAGAGATTGTACTCGCCCCTATCCAAAAGGCACTCCATGATGGCTTTACAAATCACCATTCACACCTTCCCGTCCCAGTGGATAAGCACCGGGTAAAAACCCACACTACTCCCGACTTGCTGTTTCCACTGTCCAAATGTGCGAGGGCTGAAAATATCATCACAACCAATACCCAACAACCTAAGATAGCTAATCTAACATAACAATCTAATTCAACACACCTAACGACGTAACAATGCTGCACGAGCTTAACTTCATCAAAACACAACACAATTACAAACGCGATCTACCAGGGTTGATAACACGCTACACTCTAACTGTCCAGTACTAGCTATCACCTTCACAATGTCCTTAAATCTTCTCCCTCAAATCGCCTCTGTGCAAGCATTTTGTTCTACCTTCACTGCTCACCTCCCAACTTCGGGTAACCTGAGAATTCCCCAAAGTGTACAGCTCAGCCAATCACGACTCACACGGTCGTCTGTCAGGTGGCCTGACCAACAGTTCATAGTCATGTAGTAAAGGTAAAAAGATAAAGTCGGGAGATGTGAACCAGCATCACTGCACACGGTTATAAACCATGTGCTCTACCACCAGTATGGACAACTGATAAGAAACTGTCCGGCTGTGTCGCCATCCGTATGCAATTCAGTAGCTACAGTGACGTTCCTCCATTTACCCCAGAGTGTTAACTCTGGTACTCATGACCTAGAGGCTGGGTCAACCCTGGGAACCGCCCAGTTTCGAACACCGGCCGTGGGCTGCAGCGAGTCGCAGCTGGATTTGAAAGCGAGTCTCCTATCTGCTAATGCATCCCCCAAAGTAGTCATGTAGTACTGCATATGTCATGTAGTACAGGCATGAAGAATTATCACTATCATACTTCTTATCCCATACTTGCACTGACCTCTGACAGTCATTAAATAGTGAGCTTGACAAATTGAGTATGTGGTTTTATTTTTTTTTAAAGATGGCTATTGAGTAATGAGTTATTTCCGTGTATGTTTCCAGGGCCCCATTATGATAAATACAAGATTAAACCCACTGCTTCCCCAACAAGCATATCATAGGAGTCGACTAATTGGGGGCTTTCTTCGAAGTTGGAGTGCTTCTGCCCAAGCAGCAAAGAAGAAACAACTGCACACAGATAAGCCAGTAAAATGGATGTACATGCACAACTCAGGCCCTGTCACAGGCCAAAGTCCAGATGGACGAACAGCTAAAATTTGCTCACCAGAGCTTACAGCCGGAGAACAAAAAAGAAGAAGACTAATGAGCTAGAAAAGATACCAAGTATTTTTTCAACTGGTAGCCTGCAGTCACTGGTGGGCTGTGGAAAAGTCCAGGTGGGCCGTCAGAATATTTTCCCTAATCATGTTATGGTATGTTCCTCTGTTTTGGTTTGCCATGAAAGAAGTTCCTCTGTTTTGATAGGCCATGAAACAAGTTCCTTTGTTTTGATGGGCTATGAAACAGGTTCTTTTGTTTTGGTGGGCCACAAAACAAGTTTTTTTTTTTTTATCGTTACCCTAGTGACTTGACTGTTTCTCTTTCGCAGAAATCACTGCCGCTAGAGGTGAACCTGCTACAGTTTTTCTTTGCCTACGTCCATCACACTACGAGTAGCTCACAGCTCCTGGACTCCTGGCCATCTTTGCTGAGTCTTCTCAGGGAATGCCTGCAGATGAATATCAGTCCGCCGGCTTTGTTTCTTCTTTTGCAGTGAGTACTTTCAGTTCTCCATGTGGGTTCTTCAGCCAATTTAGCCCCCCCCCCCCCCCCCCCCCCCCCCCCCCCCCCCCCCCCCCCCCCCCCCCCCCCCCCCCCCCCCTTCTAAGAAATAGATGGACATTTGTCTAACAAGCTCAACATAAAATGTAACTAATTAGGAGCTTTCTGAAATAAGCTATGTCAGGCCCAGGGGTGCAGATATTGCAGCCTAGCTGCAACTTGCTAACCATCTTTTAAAGGCAAGCACAGAAACAGAAGAAGTACAGGGTCTCCTCGATTTACGGATGAGTTCTGTTTCGACTAACAGTTCGTAAGTCTGACTGGTCATAAGTGGAAATATTTTTCAGCACAATTTTATCCAAACTGGTCATAAAAATTGTACCCAAAACACAAAAATTCATTAAATGTACAAAACATTATTGTATATATACTTTTTTTTTATATCTTGAAACCACGAGTTCTTAACCCTTTCGCTTGGTACTATGGATATCGCAACCCTTCGACCTTGATTCCATGATAAATACCGTAAATCTGGGAGAAATGTGGCTTTTCTGACTACCCCCAGGCGTGAATCCGGACCACAAGAAGTTCGTCACCCTGTCACCGCTGAGTCAGGTTTAGCCAACTGCGCTAGCAAGCCTGGCATACACATATATTTATATATGTCAGGCTCGCTAGCGTAGTTGGCTTAACCAACAAGTATATATATATATATATATATACATATATATGATGCTCTGGGTTTCAGTTATCAAAAATGAGAAAAGCCTGAAGGTCTTAGTTATTTGAGAACCTCTGCAGCCAAGGAGAAACATTGCAGGATAAATCTTCCCATTAACTGCTGTCCAGGTAAGGGGCCAGACCACAGGTTCTGGCATGCATCTAACAAGCTTGTAGCATAGACAGCATCCACACAGATTTGTCACTTTTGTTTCAGCTGGGAAAGACTAAGCCCTTATTGGATTTCCCTGAGGGCATTAGAATTGGTTATTCACTATACCCACACACAAAAAATGTGTTTTAAAGTAAATAAAGAACACAATTGTAAAAATGGAGACATGAAAGTAAATTGTAACTTTTGGTATCATTTGTCCAGAATCTTAAACGAGTTTGTGCAGAAGACCCCAGCCATGGAAGAAAAGAAAAACCAGAAAGATCTGCAGGACGTTTGCCAGAAAGTCCTTGAAGCCATCAGTGCTATAGCAGGCTCCTCTCTGGAACAAACCACCTGGCTGAGACGCAACTTTGCCGTCAAGCCTGGCCCACAGAATGAGACAGAAGATGAGGCAGAAACACGGGATGAGATTGGTAAGACTGAACACAGTGATATTTCTCTTTTTTTTTTTTTAAATAACTTGTGAAGGTTCAAGACGGAAAGTGGACTACAAAGATCTGTCTCTAAGTGCATTGTGGGAGGTGCAAATGTAAAGTGTGCCTGGGAGATGCAAGATGTAAAGTTCGCTGGGAGTATGCAAGATGTAAAGTGCACTGGGATGCAGTATGTAAAGTGCACTAGGTAGTTGCAAAATATAAAAGGCACTGGGGGATGTCATTATGTAATGTAGACGGGATATGCATGATTTAAAGTGCACTGGGAAGGTGCAAGATGTGAAATGCACTGAGGAGATGCAAGATGTAAAGTGGATTGGTTGGTAAAAGTCTCTAAGTGCTCTGGGGAGAGGCTATAAGTAAAATGGACTGGGGAGATGCAAGATGTAAAGTGTGCTGGGGAGATGAGAGTTGTAAAGTGAACTGGTAAACATCTCTAAGTGCACTACAGAGATGCAATATGCAAAGTGTGCTGGGGAGATGAAAGATGTAAAATGGACTGGTAAATGCCTCTAAGCACAGTTGGGAGATGCAAGATGTAAAGTGTGCTGGGGAGATGAGAGAGGTAAAGTGGACTTGTAAAAGTGCACTTGGGAGATGCAGGATGTAAAGTGTGCTGGAGAGATGTAAAATGGACCTGGAGAGATGTAAAATGGACTGGTAAATGTCTCTAAGTGCACTGGAGACATGAGAGATGTAAAGTGGACTGATAAACATCGCTAAGTGCACTGGGGAGATGTCATAGGTAAAGTATGCTGGGGAGATAAGAGATGTAAAGTGGACTTGTAAAGGTTTCTAAGTGCACTGGGGAGATGCAAGATGTAAAGTGTGCTGGAGAGATGTAAAGTGGACTGGTAAATGTCTCTAAGTATGCTGGAGAGATGTAAAGTGGACTAATAAACGTCACTAAGTGCACTATGGAGATGCAAAGCAGAAAGTAAACAGAAAAACCAATGAGTTCACTACAGATAGAGGATAGAAAGTGCACCAGAAAAAGTCTGCCTGAGTGCATAGTGAAGATGGCATGTGAAGGATAGAACTTTACATAATTGTCATCATCCATCATTTTGCTATATACACATTTTAGTCTTCTAAAATCTGTATCTCTTCTTTGTTTTGAAAGTGCTCTCGCTGTGACAATTTATAACTCACCCACTTCAAGTGACTAGCTTTTAGCAGCTTGATTGATAGGGTCATTTTGTCCCATACAATCCTGAGGTTTAAAAGATCTCAGTCTGGATGGCAGACTAACAAGGCAGATCTCTGATACCCCTTTCAACCTCCAAAGAAGTTATAATTAGACCACGCCTGTTATGGCAACATCAGCCGGGTGTCACCTGCAATCCTGTGCAGGTAAGTATGTCTTGGGAGAAGCGCCAGAAATTTTAGGTGTTGGGTGGAAGGTGCGGATAACACAGCCTAGCATTAAACCGCAGCAGCATTTGACAACAGTCCTTTTAAGTTCAAATACATGAGACAGACATGAGGAAGTATAAGCAAGACGTGGTAGAAAACATCAAGGGATATTTAACATTTTTAATCGGGTAAAACTAAAACACAGTATTCTTTAACTCTTTCAGTCCCAGGGGTTTAGCATCAGAGACTCAGAGGGTAGTAAAGAGACGTAAAATCAGCGCATTTTGCATTCATTGGGCTTCTACATAGGAACCTAAGAGCAAATGACGTGTTCCTTGGGACTAAAAGAGTTCAAGTTAACCTTATCTGGCATTGTCTTTCCCTGTCTGCCCTTCCACAAATATTTCCAGTGGTCACAACATGTTCCTAATTCCTTCTCCTCATAACATAACAAGGGAGAATAATGATGACCGTCTCCTTCTGATGTTTGCAAGAAGTTCAAATTCACATGGTGGCCTAAAATACTGACCTCCCAGCATATAAGAGTCGATCACATGTGTAATGGTGCATTTATGGAGGTGTCTGTGGTTGGCTGATGTGGCTTAGATATTGTAAACTCATTTTATATATCTGAAATATCCTGTTCGATTCCAGCTGCAGGCATTTTGGCAGCAGACCACTTTGCATTAATTTCAACAATTACGTGGAGGAATGCTCACTGTTCAATATCAAATGGCAAACTAATAACGGTGAATTCACCTAGTAGAACCATAAACAGCAAGAGAAAAATGCTAGGGTTGGTTCTCCATCATAATCATCTATCTTCTTGTAACACTGCTCTTGGTTGGGTCACTAGTTGCTGTTGACTGTCTGATCATGGACTTCATGGCTGCATGTCTAAGGCCTTTCCAGTCAATCATGTATCCAGGTCTTTCTTGGTCTGCCTGTTCAACTCTTCCCCTCTACTAAGCCCTTTAGTATTGTTTTTGAGAGGCCGTTAGATCTTATTACATGTCTGTAGCATTGTATTTTTCATCTCACTGTGGTTAAAAGAGGTATATAGTTTCTAATATGCTGACAAATTATAAAGTGAACCTCGACATTTATAATGTGGTCTCTGGATAATAAGCCAAGAATTTTTCTGAAAGAATGCATTTTCAATGCTTGTATCTTCTTTTTTGTTGTTGACGAAAATGCCCATCTGTAAAGGATATACAGCTAACTAACTATATGTAATATGGGCGAGGTGGTGTGTTACAGAACACACCAAGATGTGTCAGTCAGTATGTGGTGATTAGTCTCTCTTGATGCTGTCTTCAACACAGCAGATGCCAGAAAGGAAGTGAGCGCGATCAAGACTCCAGTACAGAGAAGTCAAGTGTCAGACTCGAAATACAGTGTCCACGCTTTGGCTCTTCTTGCTGAGGTGAGGCATCACTGTGTATGGGTCTCTCTCTCTTTCTCTCTATCTTTCTTTCTCCGTCTTTCACTTTTTTCTCTCGTTCTTTTTTCCCTCCCATCCCTTCCTTCATTCTCTGTCTCTCTGTCACACATTCTGTCTCTCTGTTAGTCTGCTCCCTCAGCCCCCCCCCCCCCCCCACTTTCCTCCCAGTCTGTCGTTCTCTTACTGAGTCGCTCTACCCCTGCCTCTTTATTTCCCTCCAACTCTCTCTTGTAATCTGTTTCTTTCACTGTCACTTCTCTTACTCCTTCTTTCTTACTACCTTTCACTCTGTCTCTATCTCTTATTCTCATAAGACATGCTTGTTAAAGGGCATTGAGTTTGTTCTAGTCTCCCCCCCCCCTTTCCCATAACAGTGGGGCTCTGGAACTTAGATGGTGTACTTAGCTTTTAAACCATAGGTTCTGGTTGTTGTCTGAATCATAGAGCACAACAGGATGCGACAAACTCTGCAGACTTATCAAGGGATCTAACAGAAAGAAAGTATGTGTGTAGGTGATGAGGGTCTCACATCCTGTCTTACAATTTTTTTTTTTTAGGTGGTTGGAAAGGGGGGGGGGGGGGCGGAGGCTCAAGGCGGCCCTATAATCCTAGTTTCAGAAAATATGAGAATGTGGAGGGAAACATAGTATACTTGACATAATATGAAATATACAAACAGATACATTTAAAGAGACTTTCTGTACATGTTTAACTTAGAGGTATCAACTTTACCTCCTTATAAAATTGTTAGGTGGGGCAAATTTAGGGAGGAGAGCTCAAGGAGCCTGAGCTACTAGGTTTCGACATCAGTGATGCTGATCATGCTTGTGTTCTTGTCAGGCTCACCAGTTCTGTTTTTGTTGTTATTGATTGACTCATTGTATTCTTTACATGTCTACTGCAGCTCATTTTATAAAGTATTCATTTCTAACATGTTAATTTTGTAAAGTGGGGATTGAAAGAAACATGCTGAATTGATTGTTCATTTGAACTCCGTCCACAGTTAACAGCCCCTTTGTTGGATGTCATTTACAACAGTGATGAGAAAGACAAGGTGGCGCCGTTCCTTACCACCCTTTTATATAACGTCTTCCCTTACTTGCGACATCACAGGTAGGAGCTTCCCCTTGGTGTTTTATGTTATTGAAATCGGGGTCAGTGCATATTGGGCATTCCCATGTGTGCTCAGTCCTCTGATGCAGCAGCCACTCCAAGGTAATTCTGCTAATTGTTCCCATCTCTTCTGTCTCAGCCTCAAAGGCAGCGTAGATGTGCTTCACCATGCTTTACTCCCATGTCACGCAGTCGTGTTTGTGTAAAAAACTTAATTATTATCAGTCCATACAGTGTTGATGATATCTGCTCTGTCCATGCTTTTTGCATTAGTGCACCTAGTTTCTTGCAATAACTGCACTGTAGTGTTCAATTCTTACAGGCTTCTGTAGAGTTTGACATCTGTGATCATGTTCTCTGGCCACCGAATTGACCTTTCTGTTCTGTATTGTGTACGGTGTTAGAGTATGTCCTAGGTGCTTCCCAGCAAATACATGTTGATGTAAAGAAAGGGTATTCAACTAGTAGCCCGGCAGCTGAATTTGACCCTTGGATGTCTACCAGGTGGCCCACACAGATCATTGCCAGCTGTTGTCTTCTTTTTTTTATTTCTTTTGTCCGAGTGACGTAACTATGTTGTACCTCTTAACAGCATAGATGCATTATTTGCGCCTCGACTTCATCTAACATTTGTTGACTGGGTTAACTTTCTGGTTGCCAGCTGTATTGTATTAGTGATCTTTCTACGCTGGTGATCGAGCCTTTGGCTTGCGACAATCCCCATTTTCAACATTTAGGTCCCTGAGTAAACCTAGCTGAATCGTCATGCTGAGAACTTATCTTCAGCTTTCTGAGTCTGCAGATAGTAACTTGCCTTGCCCATTTCTGTTGTCCTTTTTATAAAAGTCTGTCTGTGGTTGAACAGATAAGTATTTATTTTGCACATACAACTTGAATGCAGCGGTGCTCAACCGTACGTGGTGTTGTGCAAGGGCTCATACAGGTCAGAGCCTATTTAACCTTTGCCGTCATCTTAGAAACAGGTTCCCAGCCACGTGCCTGGCCAGCATAGATAGGATCAACATGTTCTTCAAAGTCAGGGTGCATCTGCCTGAGAGGCAAGGAGCCAACAGTCTGCAGACAAATAAGCCAGATGTGTAAAATAGATGTGCATGCGAATTTCAAGCTCTGGACACAAAGTACAGAAGTGGATGAACAACCATGACCGGTCCTGTTCACGTTTCCAGGCCCAGGATTAGAGTAACTTCCCTTGCCATTCACGCCTCCCTAGGTCGCTGGACCTCTCCTGTGTTGCTGGGGTGTTATTATTTTCCTTGGTTTAGTGTTCACTCAGCGTATATAATGTTTGTGGAAGGTTGTGTTGCTGTGAGTCTATTTCAGGCGGCGCAGGCGCCTGTATTCAAGTAAAAAGTACTGCAGGGGGAAGCGCCGCAGGCATGCGATTCTTGGCTATCAAAACTGGAATGTTTTTTTATTTTTGCATTCATTGGCCGTTGCCGTTGCTTCCCCCCCCCCCCCCCCCCACCCCCCCCCCCCCCCCCCCCCCCCCCCCCCCCCCCTTTCCCTCCCAACTAAGACAGAAAGAAAGCAGTTACAAGGAGCATAGGAATAGAAAAATGTTAATGTTTCTTTACTCCTGAACCGTCGCACAGGTAGCAGAACATAATCACGCAAGCAAATGGTGAGAAGACGAGAAAAGAGGCAGCGGTTAAACCGTTCACAATAAGGAAAACATTACATCCCTGAAACATAGGAGAGGTCCAGCGACCTAAGGAGGCGTGAATGGCAAGGAGAGTTATTTGAATCCTAGACCTGAAAACGTGAACAGCACCCCATGACCTTTTGCTGTAGTTTTAGCCAGTGAACGCTAAGAAGATGAACAGGTTATTACTAAGTATTTTAATTATGTTTTTCTTTCATCTATCAATAAGTTATCTTGCTTGCCTTTTCGTGCATTTTTCAAATTTGTTTTCTACCTGGGCAAACGGCTAAGAGCACTGGGTGGGAGAGCCAAGTTCGAATTCTCTGTAAAGGTATGGGTTTTCCCCCGTTGGGAGAAAATAAAATCCCAGTCTACACAGTCCTTGTGAGCGCTCTAGCTAAGCGGCCCTAAATCTCCAGGCTCAGAGACACGCCCTCCTCCTGCATACAGCACAAAAGTTGTCAACACAGGCAGTGATGAAGAAAGTTTTTTTCTCCCCAAATGTTTTTCCTTTTTGTATTACGTAACTGGAATTTCTTGTGACTATTGTCAGCTCCCATAACCTGCCCAGTTACCGAGCCTGCAGCCAGATGTTGGCAAGTATATCTGGCTACCAGTATACCAGGAGGGCCTGGCGCAAGGAAGCCTTTGAGATGTTTATGGAGCCTTCGTTCTTTCAAATGGATGCCCGCAGCATCACCTACTGGAGGGTGATTATAGACAATCTGATGACTCATGATAAAACAACATTCAAGGATTTGATGGGTGAGTTTTGTGTGTGTGTTCTTGTGTGTGTCTTCTTCTGTGTGTTTTTTTGTGTACGTTTTGTGTGTGTTCTTGTGCTAACTGAAGTTGTGCCATCACCACAGTGGTGGTCAGCTCTAATGAATTTGCTGCTAACTATGGGGATATTACAAGATGAGGTCCCAACCTCTTCCATGGTACAACTCTCATACCACTGTCTGAAAAAACAGAATATTCTTGTGTTACACGGAATTATAGTTCATTTAAAATTCATGGAAAGTGATGGCTCAATATGGAGTAAGTGGACACCTCATTGAAGTTTGCAAAAGCTTGTAAAGCGATTGTAGAAGTGTTGTTAGAATAAATCGGGGCACATCAAGATCATTCAAAGTAACATCTGGAGTAAGACAGGGATGTGTCTTATCACCACTCCTGTTTATCACCTACACTGACAGTATAAGCAAGGATGCCAGGCCCAGGAATGAAAATAATAGTAACCTCAATGAATTACTTTTTGCTGATGACCAGGCCTTGATTGCAGATGTAGCCATTAATTTGCAACAGTTTCTCACATCCATGAATGGAGAATGTAAATCAAATAATATGAGAATCAACATTGAAAAGACTAAATTATGTCAATAGGAAAGAAGAAGCAGGATTTATACAAAGCATTAGAGCATACATAAATTAGACAGGCATCTGAATTTAAATATCTTGAAACAACATTTACTGAAGATGGTAAATTGGACGAAGAAATTGACATCCGCTGCAATAAAGCAGGCCAAGTATCGGGATAGCAAGCTCCCCCTCTTACAGCATAAGGCAATCCCAAACATCTCATGCTAAACATATTCATTCCCATCCTATGCTAGCAGTGCCAGATGTGGTCGCTCACAACAAAACATAAAAGAAAATTATTAACCATGGAAATGAGATGTCTGAGAAAGCTGTAGGAGTGACCAGAAGGGATAAAATCAGGTGTGAGGTCATCCAAGATAAGGTTGGCACAGAACCAATTCTAAATTACACACAGAGAAAGCAAATCAAATGGTTTCCCACTTGGAGAGAATGCCTCCTGATGCTATACCGTATTTAAACAAAAAAAAGTAAAGGACCCTTTTCCATGGCATTGGGCGTATAGGGCATATAGGGCTAGATCTATATTTGATAGACCAATAGGCACATGATTGATGATGTGGTCAGCATCATGCCGGCATCCTTTACTTCCCAGGGCTGCACCCGGAACCCACTCAAGGTTGGGTTGATCTGGGAGCCAATGTTATGTTTTTAAAAAGTCCGGCTCCACCATGGAGTGAACCCACGACCTTCCGATCCGCGGCGAGTGTCTAGCTTCTCGGCCACGGCAACTCCCATGCTATACCATACAAGGCACATACCAAAAGAGGAGAAGAACATAGAGCAAGAGGTAGATCAAGAACAAGATAGAAAGATAACATCAGAGAAACTCTGCAGCTCTATGTGTCTGTGGTTGAAGCAGCCAGAAGAGCACGAAGCAGGACCTTATATCTCCCTCGACACCCGAAGCGGTAAAAGAGGACATAAAGAAGAAGATAGTTGATGGGTGAGTTTTGTATGTTCTTGCACTAAACAATAATTTCTATACCACTGAAGCCCTGAGAACAGTCTTTTTCTGATCAGCCTGCAAGGGGAATCAAACCCTGATTTGTGAATTGCAGGTCTCATTTGAAAGTACAGTGTATTTAACCATTTCCCTCGGGCAACCTAGAAAGAAAAAACAGTGCAACAGACCTTTATTTTTTAAATTTTGGGTTCCCCAAAAATTTATTCCTTTAAAAAACATTTGACACAGGTCACCCACAGAATTATAACAGTTCCGTTTATGGACAAAAAGAATATTTAATTGCATATGATATAAGAAGAGTAAACAATAAACAAATGATATAAGAAGAGTAAACAATAAACATATGATATAAGAAGAGGAAACAATAAACATATGATATAAGAAGAGTAAACAATAAACACGATTGTGGCAGAGAATTGCCTGGGTTACATCTCTCTAAGCTTGAAAAAGAAATATTTTTGAGTGTGACCCATTCTTGACCCTGTGACCTGGCCACCCTCTGATGAATGTTGATGAGAGAGGCCAAAACTGCTGCACTGGATTCAACCCAGGAAGTTGAACTGATTGCACAACAGTACAGTGAATGAATGAAATGTTATGCTGTGTCTTGCCATATCCCAATGTCTGACATAATACTCGTGTCTGACACACAGGTCGTGTGACAATCACTCAGACGGGCTCCCTGAATCTGTTCACCAGCAAGGAGCAGGAGTATGAGCTTAGGTCCCAGATGATGAAGCGGCTGGCCTTCACCATCTTCTGCAGTGAGGCGGACCAGTATCAGAGAGCTATGCCTGAGGTACAAGGTGGGTGACCTGCTGCAGCTTCTGTGTGGATCGAGTGTTTCTAGTACTGTAGTTTCCAAACTTGAGTTGAGTTATAAATTCTTCTTCTTCTACGCATCTCCGGCTATAAGATTCGAGAGGAAAGTTCTGGTTGTTTGCCTGCTTCTAGACTTCAGTCTTATTACAGAACCTGTGTGTTGCCTGCACATCTGTTTTACAGATCTATCTTATTTGTTTACAGACTGTTGTCTTCTTGCCTCTCAGGTAGATACACTGCGACTTGCAAGGAAGTCCCCAATTAATCGACTCCTACGACATGCTTGTTGGAGAGGCAGTGGGTCTATTCTTGTTTTCGTCACAATGGAGCCCCAGAAACAAAAAAATTATCTGTTATCAACTGGGTTCTCTTTATGGCACTCCAGACACGTCCTTAGGTTCTCAGATTCCTTTTCAACATATGGCATCAGTATCCTGCAGTTAATAGTGCCTAATTAACAAGACTTCTCATATGACCGGTGTACCTAGTTAACAAGACTTCTCACATGACCGGTGTGCCTAGTTAACAAGACTTCTCACATGACCGGTGTGCCTAGTTAACAAGACTTCTCACATGACCGGTGTGCCTAGTTAACAAGACTTCTCATATGACTGGTGTGCCTAATTAACAAGACTTCTCATATGACCGGTGTGCCTAGTTAACAAGACTTCTTATATGACTGGTGTGCCAAGTTAACAAGACTTCTCATATGACTGGTGTGCCTAATTAACAAGACTTCTCATATGACCGGTGTGCCTAGTTAACAAGACTTCTCATATGACCAGTGTACCTAGTTAACAAGACTTCTCATATGACCGGTGTACCTAGTTAACAAGACTTATCATATGACCAGTGTACCTAGTTAACAAGACTTCTCATATTACCGGTGTGTCTAGTTAACAAGACTTCTCATATGACTGGTGTACCTAGTTAACAAGACTTCTCATATGACCAGTGTGTCTAGTTAACAAGACTTCTCATATGACCGGCGTGCCTAGTTAACAAGACTTCTCATATGCCCGGTGTGGCTAGTTAACAAGACAAATTCTGAATGACATACAAAGACAGCAGATCAGATGGTTCACCACTTAGAATGCCTTGCAACGCCATACCATACAAGATGTACACTAAAATAGGAGAAGAACTTAGAGCACAAAGTAGGCGAAAAACAAGATCGATAGACAGCAGAGAAACTCTGAAACAGCACAAGGTGTCTGTGGTTGAGGCAGACAGAGGAGCAAGAAGCAGAACCTTATAATCTCCCTCGACACCCAGATCGGTAAAAGAGGAAGTGTAGAAGTTAGTGTTTTCAGTATGACTCTTTGAAGGTATGGGATCTGTGGCAGACCTTCGAAAATAATCAGGTTTCACAAGTCTTAGCTAATTGGAAACCATTGCTCTGAAGTTAACATGTTTTCCACTGTCATTGGTTAATTGGATTTCTTTATGTATTACATTATCTTCAACTTGACCAGTTTTACAACTTCCTGATTTCTCCCACAACTGGCGAACAATGTACAACATAGACAGATTGTTTCACTTGTTTTTATCCTTATGTGTAAGTGCTTGTCAATGTTTGTGCTTTCACAGAGAGACTGGCAGAGTGCCTCAGACTGCCCCAGGTGGCTAATGTGATGTCTTCCGTGTTCTTATGCTTCCGTGTGCTGATTCTCCGCATGTCTCCACAACACCTGACCTCACTGTGGCCAACCATTATCACAGAAATGGTAACTTTTTGATGTTGTTTTTGTTGTTCTTATTAATTCAGAAATAGAAATTGGGGGGGGGGGGGGGGGTATATCTTTCACTCCTTCACAGGATATTGCAGAACCAACTCCAGTATTTGTTTAGCTGTTTGTTTTTTTAAGGCAAATTTACATTCAGTAGTTTGCCATTGCTTCTGAATGGTCAGCTCTTGGTACCACTGTCAAAACCAACACCACACAAATAGTCCACAGCTGGGATCGAACCCAGCGCCCTGGTATTATGAAGTCTGTGCGCAATGCCTGAGCCACTGATGCTGACAGTGAACGAACAAAACTTCATTTTTTTCAAGAGTCACATATCGGGCATACAGGCCCATCTTACACCAGGCCCTTCCACACATTTATCTTTCACACATCACTGTTTTTATCATGGTATGCTCATACGGCGAAATACACGAGTGTGGGGTAAAATTACAAAAGCATTGAAGGAAAATTCATGCATTACAATATACAAACTTGCATTTCTATATACACACACACATGCTGATACTTACCCACACTTCACACTGCATACACATTCATGTGTCCAAATGCCTGCACACACACACTTGTACATCCATGTTCACTCACACACGCTAAAACACATACTCATGTAAGAGACGGCCAAATGGGACACATACTCATATAAGAGACTGGGCTAAGTGGGACACATACTCATGTAAGAAGCTAGGCCAAATGGGACACATACTCATGTAAGAGACTGGACAAAATGGGACACATACTCATGAAAGAGACTGGGCCAAATGGGACACATACTCATTGTAAGAGACTGGACCAAATAGGACACATACTTATGTAAGAGACAGCCAAATGGGACACATACTCATGTAAGAGACTGGGCCAAATGGGACACATACTCATGTAAGAGACTGGGCCTAATGGGACACATACTCATGTAAGAGACTGGGCCAAATGGGACACATACTCATGTAAGAGACTAATCCAAATGGGACACATACTCATGTAAAAGACTGGGTCAAATGGGAAACATACTCATGTAAGAGACTGAGCCAAATGGGACACATACTCATGTAAGAGACTGGGCTAAATGGGACACATACTCATGTAAGAGACAGGGCCAAATGGGACACATACTCATTGTAAGAGACTGGACCAAATAGGACACATACTTATGTAAGAGACAGCCAAATGGGACACATACTCATGTAAGAGACTGGGCTAAATGGGACACATACTCATGTCAGAAATTGGGCCAAATGGGATACATACTCATGCAAGAGACTGGGTCAAATGGGACACATACTCATGTAAGAGACTAAGTCTAATGGGACACATACTCATGTAAGAGACTTGGCTAAATGGGACACATACTTATGTAAGAAATTGGGCCAAATAGGACACATACTCATGTAAGAGATGGACCAAATGGGAGAAAACCTGATGCAGTTAAGGGAACTTTAACTTGGTACCTCAACTGCAGTATCTGTTATTGAGCCACATTTGTCAGCATAATTAACTCATTCTTTTATAACTGGGGAGCCACCATAATGTTGTTGTTAGGCGCTTGCCTGCGGTTCAGAAGGTTGTAGGTTCAAGTCCTGATGGGGCCGAACTTTCTTCAAAAATGACTTTGGCTGTCTGGTTTAACCAGCCCTAAATAGGTACCAGGTAAATTCCTTTGAAGTAAAGGCTGTCGGCGTAATGTTAACCATATCACCAAACTGGTGCCGATTGGTTTATAAAATATAGGTCCAGCCTTATGTGCCCAAAATGTCTGAAGGTGGGGGAAGAGGGTCTTTTACTTTGTTACTATACTTAAACTTGTATAACTGCTTAACATCACAGGTGCAAGTCCTCCTGCAAGTCGAACAGGAACTTTCCACGGAGACTGATGACTTCAGGTATGTTATCTGAGAGTATCAGTTACTCTGTGTGTCTGCTCCTTATCCTTTTTGACGCACCTATTTGCTACCATCAGTGTTGCTACTAAAAGGCTCAGGGTGGGACCCTCACACTTGCTTTGCTCTTTAACAGTTGGTCGTGTGATTTGCTGTTGAATCCTTTCACCCAGTGAATGCTAAAATAAATAGGTTGTTAACCCATGGAAACTCTTATGCAAAAAATACATTTAAAAAAGGGGGGGGGGGGGGAGGATATCCATTTTACACAGATCACTAATAAGTTGATAAAAAAACTGTATTTAGCTACATTTAAAAAAACATTTATGTGTGGGGAAAATGTAAGGATATATAAAACAGGTGATCAGTAAACACAAATGGATTCCCTGAGCCTAAAAAAATATTAATCATGAGACTCATGCTGTGATTCCATGACTTTTATCATTGAGACTTATAGGATAATTTGACATCAGCTGGGCTTTAAAAAAAGCTTTAGGGATCAAAAGGAACGGCCACCCCGTTATGCTATGTTTAGTTGCTTTAATAATATCCTGGCCTATTAAAGACTGCGCAGGTGCACACAGGACCATTTAAATGTAACTATGCTTTTCAAAAACAGGTCGCTGCAGACATGTCGATATATTGTTATTTAAGGGACTGTCACAACCGGAATTGGCTAGATTTAGTCTTCTTGGAGTGACAGGTTTCTTCTTCTCCTCCACTTTATCTTTTACCGCTTTGGGCGTCGAGGGAGATATGAGGTTCTGCTTCTTGTTTTGCAGGCTGCCTCGACCATAGCAAACCATGATTTTAAAGGTTCACTGATTTTATCTTTCCATCTTGTTCTTGGTCTGCTTCTTGATCTTTATCCATCTTCTCTTTTGGTGTATGCCTTGCATGGTAGGGTGTCACAAAGCATTCTTGCTAAGTAGGCAAACCATTTGACCTGCTGTCTTTGTGTGTAGTTTAGAATTAGTTCTCTGCCGATTGTTTCTCTTATCTCATTCCTGATTTTATCTCGTCTGGTCACTCCTGAAGTCCTTTAAATGGGAGGTTACAGCAAACTTTCTATAAGAGAAAATCAGAATGCTGTTAACATGATTTGAGAAAATCAAGCCACTGTTATTTTATGTCAGGAAAGTCTGATAGGTGTTAATTTTATGGAAAGAAGATTGTATTGTTAACTTTATTGTCAAGAAAGTCAGATTGTTGTTACCTTAGTCAAATACTGTTTTTCCCAGTCCCTTAAAGAAATGTGACATTTCATCAGTCTAATACACCATTTAGGAAGTGTGGCATTTCACCAGTCCAGTTAACCCTTTAGGAAATGTGGCATTTCACCAGTCCAGTTAACCCTTAGGAAATGTGGCATTTCACCAGACCAGTTAACCCTTTAGGAAATGTGGCATTTCACCAGTCCAGTTAACCCTTCAGGAAATGTGGCATTTCATCAGTTCAGTAAACCCTTCAGGAAATGTGGCATTTCATCAGTCGAATAAACCCTTTATGAAATGTGGCATTTCATCATCCTAATTAATAAACCTTTTAGGAAATGTGGCATTTTACCAGTCTAATAAACCCTTTAGGAAATGTAGCATTTTTTATAAATCTATTATGAAATGTAGCATTTTTTTTTTCATTCCACATCCCTTAAGAAATGTAACATAACCCTTTAGGAAATGTAGCATTTGATCAGTCCAGTAAACCCTTTAGAAAATTTAGCATTTGATCAATCCAGTAAACCCTTTAGAAAATGTAGCATTTGATCAGTCCAGTAAACCCTTTAGAAAATGTAGCATTTGATCAGTCCAGTAAACCCTTTAGAAAATGTAGCATTTGATCAGTCCAGTAAACCCTTTAGAAAATGTAGCATTTGATCAGTCCAGTAAACCCTTTAGTAAATGTAGCATTTGATCAGTCCAGTAAACCCTTTAGAAAATGAAGCATTTGATCAGCCCAGTAAACCCTTTAGAAAATGTAGCATTTGATCAGTCCAGTAAACCCTTTAGAAAATGTAGCATTTGATCAGTCCAGTAAATCCTTTAGAAAATGTAGCATTTGATCAGTCCAGTAAACCCTTTAGAAAATGTAGCATTTGATCAGTCCAGTAAACCCTTTAGTTAATGTAGCATTTGATCAGTCCAGTAAACCCTTTAGAAAATGTAGCATTTGATCAGTCCAGTAAACCCTTTAGAAAATGTAGCATTTGATCAGTCCAGTAAACCCTTTAGTAAATGTAGCATTTGATCAGTCCTGCAACCCTTTATCCTATCACTGAAAACAGTATGGGCCTAACATAATATCCTCTTACAAATTTTCAGAGTGGGTGTCTCAGAGGAGCTAAGCTTTGAGTGCTGAATTATTTAAATGGAAATTAACACAATATATTTGGTATAATGATGACACCAACACTTATAATGAAAATTGCTGTACATGTGTTGGAGGGGGGAGACAACTGACAACTGTTCTAAACATTTGGGGGGAGGGGGAAGGCTTATTTAGCCTTCGTGTTGTGGCGCCCCTGTCTAACTTCATACATTTATGTGCTGTTATGACGCAGACGGTATGAGCCTTCCATCTTTGAAAATAGAGACCTTCTGCAATATGTTTTATATGTATTATTCTGACAATTAAATCATGAACCAATCCAGCACACATTATCCTGTCACTGAAAATATGGGCCTTAAATTATGTCCCCATTTCATTTTCCTATGCTTGAAAATATTGGCCCTCCCAGCACACTATACTGTTGATAACTTTGATGCCATGTAATTGGCTCACATTGCTATCATTTAAGAGTAATGGATCATGTGCGTGTGACGTACATAGTAGTGTTATCACAATACCATATTGAGTGATGTTCCTAATAGTATTACTGCCCTACCGTATGTGATGAATATACCGTAGACTCGCAACTATTCTGCCTGTGTACTATCTGGCCTATTTTTTAAAATATATATATATATATATTTTAAACAATAGGCCAGATAGTACACAGGCAGAATATATTTTAAACAAAAGGCCAGATAGTACACAGGCAGAATAGTTGCGAGTCTACGGTATATTCATCACATACTTCATACGGTAGGGCAGTAATACTATTATATATATAATATATATATATATAATAATTCTCTGTAATGAAATAAGGAATTATTAACTTTGCCAAGGCTTTGCAGCGGGGGACTTTACAATCCTTCTGCGTCCCTCCCGTGTACATAACACAAGTTAAGATGTGCAAAGTGTGGATTTCTCCCACCCTGCTGCCTGCTCTTCACTTCATGACTTGTGTATCAGATGTCATCACTTGGGAAATGTTTGCCTCTGTTCCTGGTTACCTTACTAAATTACTGTCTGGTGTCCTTCGTATTTTTTCCCTAAAGATTACAAAATTAGTGATAATGGGGGGGGGGGGGGGGGGGGGGGGGGGGGACAGGTTATAGTTGCTATGGAGGAGAAACTTTGTTGTATAAAGTTACTGGTCTCTGAGGTAATGACAGAAACTATCGCTTCAGAATTAGGAAAATGTGCAGTTGGAGATGAAAGACAAATTGAGCAGGAATTAAAAAGTGGAATGCTGCCCAGTCTAGTGAAAGTGGAATTAAAGTAAGAAATATGATGCTGTAAGGCAGGGCTATTTAACTAAGTTTACTCTGGGGTCAAAACTTTAAAAATTATGACCGTCATGAGCCAGCAGCCATGCCCCAGCCTAGAAACATCTTTAATGCATGATAACTGGCACTGTTCCGTGGGCCACCTCCATGGCCAACTCTGGCCTGTGGTCCGCCAGTTGAATAACCCTGCTGAATGCATTAAAAAGTTGGGGCAGCTTTATTTTTGTGGAACAAACACTGACAAGTGAAAAGCTTGCTGTTGCAGGGCCAGTATTGCAGTAAAAAGCATTGCAATTTAAGTAACAAAAAGAAGGAGAAAATTTAGAATTTACTGCCAGCGATGGATGGTTAGTTTGGAGGAAATTATTAATCATTTGTTAGATTACCGTAAGTGGGGAGGTTTTATCTGCTGATACAGAGGCTGTACCTTTGTTCAAAGACTATATTTTTAAGCTTTTTGCAAAGGGGGGAATTTATGGGGAGCAGTTGTACATTATAAGATATTCGCTACAAAAATGCTTGCAACAAAAACCCAAAAAAAACATTCCACCAGGACACAAGAAAACAAGTACAAGTTACCATCTTGGCTTGCAGTAGTGTAACCTGCAACCACATGTTAACAGTAAATCGAAAAATTAAAAAAAAAATAGTTTTAAAGAACTGAAAAATCTGGAATCACTACTCCTATTTTTACATATTTCATTACAAAACTGTGAATGAATTATGAAATCTGTAAAACCCGTTTCCAAAACAAATTTGTACAGACTCTGGTAAAACATTTGAAAAACAAAATTTTGCTGAGAAAAGCTGTACTACTTCTTGTCGAGGCACCTTGGCATCTGGCCACGTACAGACTTAGAGGTGGCGACATCAAAGCTTTCTATGTACTGCCTAGTGTTACGGCTGTTTGTCTGCCAATGAGCTAGGGCACCCTTGAAAGGCTAAAGAAAAAGAATGTTGGCGTTAGCTCAGTTTGTTAATATCAGCGATTGATAATAAGGGCTTTGTACTTAGAATGTGTTCATTGTGTGTGTTTCTGCTTGTTTCCGGACTATATCTGTCACTTTTGTTGGCATCTCATAATTCTATTGTTCTTGATTTTGTTTCTAAGCTTACCTTCAACTGTCTCTTTTGTGACGCCTGTGTCGTAAGTAAGGCCAGAGGTGAAGGGTCATAACCTTTCACCTCTTTCTCTTGAGGCTTTTCTCCCTTTCCTTTCTCATGCATTGCATACATCATGGTGCTGGTGCACTCAAATTTAAGCCACATGTTTCCTATATATAAGCCACAGCTATGGGAGTAGGTGGAAGGGAAGTTACTCTAGAAGACCTGTTTATTTCTGTAGAGTTATCCCTATTGCATGTTATTATTTCTCTTTTTGTTTTGTTC